TGCTGTGCGGGCCCGTGTGCTCAGTTTCGGGTGCACGTTAAAGAACCCCGGGTGGTCGAAATTTCCGGAGCCCTCCACTATATACGGCGTCTCTCATAATCATACAGTGGTTTTAGGAGGTTAAATCCCACATATCAATCAAATCAATCAATCAATTCGATTGATAGGTGGTTAAATGTGAGGCGTTTTTGCGACGATTTGGCGTTTTATTATGTTTGTTCAATTTAACAGCGGTCTGATAATTATCTTTGCCGTTCACAGACGTTTCGGTTTCTACATCTGCTGTAGACGCAGGGCGGCGGTTTATGAACGGAGTGACATCTTGCGGTCTCACAAGTGTTTGCCCCCCCCCCCCCCCCCCAAAAAAAAAAATGGCGGAAGCACTGCCCACGTGTGCGCGAATCAGTCTGCGACGTGAACGATAACGGCGTTGAACGAGAGACGAAGATGTATTGCGGTTAGTTTATGCAAGCGGAACCCTGTACATATTCCTCCGAGTGCCTGAAGATAGAGGAGGCCGGTCGGGTCACTGTCAGGAGAAAGAATTTCGCAGAGGTAGGCGTGATCCGGCCACTTCACAAACGCATACAACGGCGTCGCCAAAAAAAAAAAAAAAACATGCTTCATAGAGTGCTTTGCCCGATTTGGGGGTCATCGGGGGGCTATCGCAGTTGAACGGATATCGAAACGATTCTCTCGTGGAAAGCGGATGTTCTACACAACACGGTCACGCCTCTGCTTATCGAAAGGGTTCTTGCTGGGCCGCAGTATACAGAAAGCGCTAAATCAGAAATACTGAATGTGTGTGTGTGCGTAAACATTGCCTAAACTCAAACGCATCAAATAAAGTAGCGGAAAGCGCTAAATCAGAAATACTTAATAAGTGTACTGCCTAAACTCAAACGCATCAACTAAAGTAGCGGGGCATGCTTATATAGGCTGCTGCGTGCTACGTACGGTTAAGCCAACTTCATTTTAACTGCATCGTTCATTAATTAACTGCATCGTTAATTCCGTCCCCACTTTTGCAGAACACAGTTATGCCATTGCATGACTCTTTAACTTTCCCCTTAATTAAAAAAAAATCTACACTATCGATCTCTCTCGTTCGTTCCTATCGAAAAACAACCACTCTGTGGATCGAAACGCATGACCTCATTGAGCGTGGCAGACAGCAGAAAGCCAAGGGCACTCTGACGGTTGATTTGATTGATATGTAGGGTTTAGCGTCCCAAAACCACCCTATGATTATGAGAAACGCCGTAGTCGGGGGGCTCCGAAAATTTCGACCACCTGGGGTTCTTTAACGTGCACCCAAATCTGAGCACACGGACACAGCATTTTCGCCTCCATCGAAAATGCAGCCACCGAAGCCGGGATTTGACCACGCGACCTGCGGGGTCAGCATCCGAGTACCTTAGCCAGTAGACCACCGCGGCGGGGCTCACTGATGGTCTCATTTTGCGGCATCTAACATGGCGAAATCAACGTTTGCGCTTTTGCAACAATGCAGCTTGATTTTCGGAGCAGTGGGGGGTAAGTTCTGGGTCGCGGAGACACTCTACTGACCACGTGATCGAGAGCTTTTCTACAAACAGACAACGCAAATACAAACGCACGCGATACACGCAGGCAAGTACACCGCACGCGCTTACAACACACGTAAAAGCGAAAGGCTGTCCTGATGCACTAGCAACTGTAACAACGGCGCAGAAAAGGCCGTGTATGTGTTTTTTTTTTAAAAATATCAAGATACACATTTCAAACGACTCAGTGTGTGTTTATGCAGCCGAGGTTCATCATGGGCTTAGAAGTGTGGCAGCTTGGGCTACTTGGTACGACATGACGATAGTTATAGCGCGATAACAGGACGACGACACAGAGACAAGTGTCCTTCGTGTCCTTCTTGTCTCTGTGTCGTCGTTCTGTTCTCGCGCTATAACTATCGTCATCATGGGCGTCGTGTATTGATAAGTCTCATCGGCGCGCCACGAAATAAGGGACGGATAAAAGAAGGGGGAGGGGGCGGCACAAGAACGAGAAAAAGAGCGCAAAGCAAAAGAAAAATAACAGAAAAAGAGAAAGATAAAGCAACAAGAAAAAAAAAGGGGGGCGTTCAAAAGCATCCCCACCCCCTCTATGCTGAGTGTGCTAGCGGATTGTTCAAATCCAGGTAGCGTGTCATTCTTCTGCTCTAATAACTCGCCGTCAGCGGCGGGCCGCCGAGTTCTGGTTCTTCTTTCCTTTCCATTCGTCACATATCTTTCATTCTTTGCTTGCTTCGGCGCAAGCAGGCGTACTTTTTTTGTTCTTTCACCGCGCACATAGCACGCGATAACCTGGTACTGAATGCTCAGGAAAGAACAGGGAAAACAGTCGGAAAGGGGGAGAGGCAAGGCGGAACGACGCAACGTACGCGACGAAAAATAGTGCTAAGCACAAGGATAAGAAAAAAAAAGATAAACTATCTTGACGAGCAGGCGACATGGGGAGGAAAGGTCGACGCACAAAAACGACAAGACAGATGCAAGCGCGCGGCACGACTCAGCACGCCAGCTGTTTCTGTGCCGGCATCCAAGGAAACGAAATGCCTGCCGCGCGTCGTCTGCTGCACCCGTTTCGTAGGTTGCATATATTTTCGTACGCTGTATGTATATAAAATTCCGTCTGTTGACGGTGACGGTGTAAAACCTACCGCTGTTTGCAAGTGCCTGTAATGAATGTGTTCCTCCGCAAGCGCCGTCTGGGGTGCTATTCTGGACACTGCGTAATTCCCCCCATATTGTCAAATTTCGTAATGACGGCATTTTAAGCCAATCAGCGAGGTCCTAGCAGCTCACTTGGCCAATTAGCATCGATCAATGGCGGAATCTGACAACATGGCGGAATTCGACAATGTCCAAAAAATAGCACTCCTGCACGAATTAACGCACGGGTCAACTATGAACAGGGTAACCACATAACCTTATTAAGCCGCGTAGTCATCTGCTGGTATGGTAAAACCTACCACGATGAGACGCACCGATGATATTGTATCCCTCCGCGACCGTGTAATCGACGGCAGCAACAGCAATGTTGGGAGAAAGAGCGAAACGAGACGATGAGAGAAAGAGTGAGATAAAAATAACGAATAAAAGGTCAAGTTGGCCACGCGCTATGACTCACACATACACGCACCAACTGACACCCTACAGCCGGAAGCCGCGCGGCAGGAGTTAGCGGCTGGCGGTCTTTATTTTGTAGGAGTGCAAAAACAGTTGAGACTGTTGTTGCTACGGGCGTTTAAACAACCGGCAAAATAAACACCAACGAGGCAACGATGTCAGGCTTTTAGACAGAGTGCGTTTACTGTGCGTGTGTGCTTTCGTTTTCACGCGACAAGTCTGCAAAACGGGACCGCAAGCCGAATACAAATGATGGCGTAGGAGTCAGAACCGAGACCGACCTCCTGGAAACAGATTTCTCTGAAAGCAATGCAACCCAAGACAGTACGCCCCCTTGTTTAGAGGTCGCAGAACTAGTGTAACGACCTCAAGCGAATTCGCCCAAACAAAAAACGATAACTGCCGCTACCAACATCGAATGTCAGCGTGTTAGCTGCGAGAACTGCGCACGAAATCAAAATTCTTTTCGCCAGCTAACTACAGTAGGTGGCGCTAAGATGAAATATCTTAATCTGAAGCGAGGCATGCACTACCAATGAATGAATGAAACCAGTGCGCAAAACCCGGAACGTCATCCTTGTATTCGAGCCCAATGTAGTACATAGGAAACAGGGAAATAAGCGGCGATGGAGGCACGGTTTTGCGCTAGAATCCTTAACCCAGCCCAGTCATTCTAGAATGTGGGACGCGAAACCACCCTACCGCCGCGTAAAAAGAAAGCAACCAAACAAAGCACGGCCACCCACAACAGGATAGAGGGGTTGAGAAATGAAGAAAACAGAGCGCAGCTTGTCATCTCTCGGTGCTCCGAAAACCTCGGCATCGTTAAAAGCTAACCTACAGTCGTGAACACTGTCGGAGGGAACACTAATAACTACATTTTAAATGTCATAGCAGCTAAACGCAGTTGGCAAGCGCCACAGTGAATGCTCGGAGCGGAAAGGTTTATCTTGCAGTTCGATGCGTCACATTGATATTGTTACATTGTAATCGTTGATCCTACGCGAATTATCGCTGATCTCTCTCCCACTGCCCACGACCGTACGTCCAGTCGTAACATTTGATCGTTCGATATGTGGGGTCATGTACGGTAAGCGAAAGCGACAAATGACACAGTTCTGTGACAACTGCATTGAAGTGGCGTGGAGGCAGGCGGCCCGCTCTCTCCGCTGCGAAAGCGGGGCTCAAAAGTTATCGTAATCGCGAGTCAACAACGTACGGTGCATGACGCGTCCGTCTTACGCACGGCAACGCTTTAATAAAGCAAAAAAAAAAAAAAATGCCCGAGCTCTGTCGCGGTTTTGCCGGCGCACGACGAACCACTGCTACGCAGGTAACTAACTGCCCCTTCGTGAGGAAAACCAAAGGCAGGAGTGCGCGCAATCAGAGCCGTATCGTAGGCTTTTTTCTGGCCGCTATAAACGTCGCAGACCGTTAAGGCAGGCGGCACAATTACCGCGCCGAAACAGGAGGGAGAGCGAAGCGACGCAAAGAAAGAACAAACGAAAAAATGCCGAAGGACGGACGGTCCGATTCGCAAAATCGGCTGTTCTACTTTCCGGATCGGGCCGCGCGAGGATTTCTCTTGCGAAAATAGCGATGGGATAGCGTAAGAATACGCGGACTGCGTGAAAAAAAAAACGATCGATATGTATGCCAGCCGTTAAGAAAGGCTTCGAAGAAGTGTTTTGAGTGGGCGATCGCAGCTGCCTTATAACAGCAGCCGCTTTCCGCAGTGTCGCGTACGGCATTTATTATTATTTTTTTTCTCACGGTGATCGGACTCGTAGTGAAAGGGTTGACAGCGTCAACCCCCCACAGAGGAAGTGTGCTTACCTCGCCGATTCATGGGGCGCACGCGCACGGCAACTTTGATCTTGTCAGTCGTCATGTCGGCGGTGGTGATTTTCTTTGGCGTCCAATGCGGTTGCTGACTTGGTTGGTTGCACGCACACACACGCACGGAGGCACACGGAGGGAGAAAAAAAAAATTAAAAACACTCTAGGAACACCGTAGACGCGAAGGTCTCATGCGACCCGGGTTCGTCGCGGGCTGCTGGCTACATCATCCCGGAAGGTTCTGTCCAGCGCGCGGTGATGGTCACGAAAAAAAAAGATCCGGCGATTTCTCACGCGCAAAGCCTCCGCACCACGGAGGAAACACTCCGACCATGCTCGGACGCCATATTTTTGCGAGAGGTAGGCGAGATGTTGGGTTGGTTGGGAGATGGCGCAATCGATATGCGAGCGCGAGCGCTCTCTCATTTTTCGCCTGTGGAGCGCAGCTGCTTCGCTACGCTAGGTGCGAAACATGAGAAAACAATGTCGAAGTATGACTCATTCCCAAAACCTTTGGTCGTCTGTTTGTTCGCGAGTAGTTAAATCCCCGCTCAACGATTCACACTACTTCGACGGTGTCAAAACGACGCTTAGGACTCATTTTGGCAGCGAATGCACTTTTCGTCGGGCAACGCGAGCTTTTGCTATATCCCACCCCGCTTCCTTAACTTTGTTTTTGCTCGTTGTAACCCTCCGCGACAATAAGTAGTGCTAAAAATAGTTCTAATCTCAAACAATTCAGCAACTTAATTTGTGAAATTTCAATATATACAATAAAACTAGTTGTGCTAATATTTGTATTGGGCATTTGAGCGCTTAAATAAGCGATAACACTGCATGACGTTCATACGAAAGCAACACTTGAAACTACCGCTTCATAGATAGCGGTATGATCTATATTGCTTTTCACGTTGTTTTCACTGTAACCGGCGTCGTGAACTGTCGGCGCGCGTGGTTTTCTAGACGTACCGTTTGGCTGATACTGCTTAGCCTTTGACCCCGTGGTTGGCGTCTCGCGTTACGACGACGAAAGGAACCGCGATGATGGAGGAAGACAGCGCCGGTTTTGGCGAGCTGATCCAGCAAGCGGAGCAGCTAACTGCCGAAATCGACGACACGGGCTTGCCGCGCGTCACTCGCAGCCTCAAGCAGATCGTCGAGGAAGGCCAGCAGCTATGGTCACGCACAGCTCTCCTTTCGGCCAAGGATACGAACGAGGTGAAGGCATCCATCCTCCTGGGTTCCAGGGGCTTCGACTTGCCCAGGGCCACGCAGAAGCTCGAAGGCCTAGTGGCGGCTCCGACCTTCGAGCCCTACGAAGACGCCCGCGAGACGGACATCCAGGCCTTCCTTCGAGCGGAACGCGAGAATGCGATCCTCTCGGTGTTCGCGGAGTCCTTCAAGGCGACGCAAGAGGAGAGCGACAACTTCTGCTGCGACGCGTTCTCCAACGAATGGCAACGCGAGAAGCAGCGAGTCCTCGACTCCCTCCTGGGACCTTCCAACGACGTCATGGACGTGAGCACGGCCGTCGCCGAAACGAGCTCTATGCTGGGGACCACCTTCCAGTTGGACGCCAAAACGCGAAGCGCAATGTCCGCCGCCGAAATGCCGTACGCCCGCGCAGTGGCCCGGTACAACGACGAGGTCATCAGCGGAGGTACGCGTCCCAAGCTTGCGGACCGCTTCCGCGAGGTCGCCGACAAGGAACTGGACGACCGCAGCGCGACCGCCATGTGGGAGATGGTGTGCTTTATCCTGGACGCGCCGCTCACTTCGACGGGCGACTCGACGCAAGGCACGTACGCTGTAGCGACGCCGGCGCTGGTCAACCAGTCCCGGAAGCACCTGGAGAACGTCTACCGGAAGTACATGCGCATCGTCATTGAAGGGAACCGCGGCTACGCGCGTCTCGGTGGCGAGCTGGGCACAGTCAACCTGGTCAAGAGCTTCCTCAACGTCAAGCTCCCCTCGATGCCCTCGGAAGGTTACGAAGGCAAGCTGGACGGACACCCTGTGTGGGCTCTCATCTATTACTGCCTGCGCTGCGGCGACCGCGCCGCTGCCGTCGCGATCAGCCGGCAGGCCGAAGGCACCGCGGGCGACATGACGTCCGTCCTGGAGGAGTACGCCGCGTCCGCCGACGGCCATCTTGGCGCCAGCAGTGAGAACCGCATTCGGCAGCTGTACGCGCGCTCGGTGCGCGCCTCGGAAGACCCCTTCAAGCGCGCCGTCTACTGCGTCCTGGGCCGTTGTGACGTAACGCAGGACCACCCGGCAGTGTCGGCGACCTGCGAGGACTACCTGTGGCTTAAGCTGTGTCTCGTGTTTGCCGAGGAGCCCGTGTCGCCAGGCGAAGAGCAGCAGGAGCAGGCCCGCGACCGCCTGACGCTCGCCAAGCTCCAGCGGTCGCTCCTGGAAGAGTATGGCGAGAGCCACTTCGACGCGATGCGACAGCCATTCCTGTACTTCCAGGTCCTGTTCCTGACAGGTCAATTTGAGCACGCCGTCGAGTTCCTGGCCCGCGTGGAGCCCCAGCGAGTCCACGGCGTTCACGTTGCACTTGTGCTCTATGAAGACAACCTTCTGACACCACCGGCATCCGTTCAGCAGCCCTTGGTGTCCAAGCCTCCGTCAGGCGCAGGCCTGCGCTTCAACCTGGCTAGGCTCGTGACAAGCTACACGCGCAAGTTCGAGGCAACCGATCCGTGCAAGGCCCTGGGCTACTTCTACTTCCTGCGAAAGCTCAAGGGAATTCACGGTGAGAATCTCTTCGTGGCGTGTGTCAGTGAGCTCGTGCTTGAGACCAAAGAGTTCGAAGTCCTACTGGGCAAGATTGAGCCAGATGGCTGCCGACGAAGAGGAGAGGTCGACAAGTTCAACTTCGACACAGAGCGCGTCATTGAAGCCGTGGCGGCAGATTGCGAGAACCGGGGCCTTTACGAGGAGGCAGTGCGCCTGTACGACCTCTGCAGGAAACACGGGGACGCCGTGAGGCTTCTCTGCAGACTCCTGGCGAAGCATGTGCCCAGCGCATCGGGTCCTGCCTGGGAGCGGCTGCGGGAACTGGCCGTCGAGCTGGCCACCCGGTATCGGGATGACGTCAGCAGTGCCTCCATTGAAGGTCTGGCATCCCTGTGCCTGCTCCTCGACCTGGGGACATTCTTCAACCTTGCACACCAGCACAAAACTATGCTCGCGTTGAACACGATGCAGCAGCTAGAGCTGGTTCCGTTCGACCCGTGCCATGTTGAGGAGAGTGTCGCGGCGTTCTCACGAAGGTCCGAGGATGTGCGTCGTATCGTGGCCGACATACTGCTGGCAGTGATGAATCTGCTGTACAGCCAGTACAGGGAGATCAAGGGACCGGACGAGGTCCAGAAACAAAAGCTGCGTCAGCAGGCGAGAGCCATCATAATGTTTGCCGGCAGCATCCCGTACAAAATGCCCGGAGACACGACCGCCAGGCTCGTCCAGATGGAAGTACTGATGTGTTGATGTGCTGCCCACCTCTTCCCCTCCACCTGTTTGTTTTTATTTCGTCCAATCGGATATGGGACAGAACTGGTTGCGCATCTTAATTGTTTTACCACCAAATAGAACGCTTGTTCTGGGCAGGGTGGGCTTTTCATGAGCCAAATTGTACAAAGTTGTGCATGGTATAAAAATATCTTGCTTTTAGTATGGGCTTTCGCAGTTGTGGTTTATTAATTCAGCTGACATCTACCAGTTTTTCTGCACGATGACGTGTAAAGTGCAATGCTCCTTAAAAATTTCGAGATCACCATGCTTGCTGCCAGAAGGCACTTGGTATTGTATGCCCGTGTGCTCAGGTTTGGGTGCACGCTAAAGAACCCCAGGTGGTCGAAATTTCCGGAGCCCTCCACTACGGCGTCTCTCATAATCATATGGTGCTTTTAGGACGTTAAACCCCTTATATCAATCAAGACACTTGGTAAGCGAGAAAACGTGCCAAAACACAATGTGTATGGCGCCGCCGCCTTGAAATTCTCTCACCACACATTGCGATTCCATAAAGCTTTGCGGCATCTACTAGATTCATTGTACTTTCTAACCAGTTTTTCTCTGAGGGGGCTGCAAACTATGTTGCCAAAAAACAAAAAATGGGCTTTGAAATCCGTGAAATCAGGTCTGCCAATATCTGCATGAAATTAAGAAATTATATTATGACCGTGGCTTTATTCTCTGTTGATGGCGAAATAGGCTATATATGAGTTCTCAGAATATAATTTGTCAATATAAACCAATTTATTGTTCTACATTAGTGTCTCATTAAGGTGCTGTGCTGCATGCCCCGCACAGCTGACCTGTTCCCTACATGTTGGCCTGCATATTAATAGCTCCATCATGTTACTGTTTAACTTTGTTACAATGCATTGGTGGTGGTGCCATCATGCTATTGCAGTGCTACATGAATATAGATGCTCATTCTTCATGTATTATCAGCTAGATTGATCTGATGTTTGATTGGCAATGCATGTTCAAAATGATGGTTTTGATTCACTATCGAGAGGGATTTTTCAATGATCGCATCATGCGAATGTCCGCATGAGGCACGAATCTCAATGAACTGTTGATGAATGTGTGAAATTTTCGAACGACGTAAAGGAAACTTGTGTTGCCCGAAAGTTGAGGTGGTCGGAAGTTGCCTTAGGCGTATGTTCGTGAATCACGATCTAGTTATTGTAGTCTATCTGTGTATCATTTCTGGTGTAATGACTATAAAAATTACTGGCATAGAGTGCACGTGCAAGTTGTACGCATGTGCAAGTTTAACTCTGGCACTAATGTCTATGGGAGCTCCAATATGGGTTGGTTCAGCGAGCATGGGTAGTTCATAAATTTGTCTAAAGTTCATTATTTCAGCTCCGTTTGGCTCCATGTGGCCCGAATTTGCTCTGCCACAAGGCAAAGTCTATGAAAGGTCCAGATGTCAAATTCCATCGCTTTTCACTTCTTAGGCCCACAAATTCAAATTGGCTCCCGGAGTTGTCACAACAGCCTGTTCTTTTATTCGAACCAACAACATTAAACAAAGCCACAACGCATTTGAAGCATGCAAACGTGAAGACTAGGAAAAGTCGTGTACTGCCCGTTGTTTCCATGGTGGCTGGATGATTGCAGCAACCAAAGTTCCCTCTAGGTGATTGTAGGAGACTGTATGGTGAGCATAACAAAAAAACGAAAAGGAGATATATTTCATTGTTGCTGTCATCGTCAACACGTCTAATGGGGTAGTGCCTCTATACTACAGCGATCTTTTATTCTCCAGCAATGCTAAAAATGCTGCAAGTAGAGCGAATATGGGTTTGCCGTAAACTTCCAAGCAAGTGCCCCCTTACCCTTATTGCAAGGTTTGAAAATAGGTTTTCTACCTGTCTCGTTTTAGACTAGCCCTGCCAGTTCTTTAGATGGCGGGCCAGTTGCTGGTCTGCACCAGCCGCCATTGGCCATTTTGTTTTTTCTCATAATATTCAAACTTTTTTTCGGGGATGTTTCATGGGTACCAGTCTAAAAACTGCTTTTGTAAATACTTATTGTCAGTCGCCTAAACTCTTACACGATTAGACAACCACATTCTAGCATCCCTTCAAGTGTAGCAATCATTAAAATATAGCATATTATTGCACGTGTATGGTACACGAGTATTCAATATTTTTGTGGCATATGCACTCTATATTTTGACGTTTGCGTCTATAATGCCTCTAGCTTTGTGTTTAGAATGTCTCTGGCCTGTCGGACTCAAAAGCAACGAGGAGCATTTTATGAATGAAGTAATGCGGTTCCTTTTGGGTGCAGCACGTTCAAAGCAATATGTGGTACATCATTCGAAACATGGGTAATTTTGAGCCAGCTACGAGGCTAGCTGGTCGCATCGGTGCAGCGTTTTTGTTTGTACGTTAGGAATATTCTTCTCAAGAAAAACAATGCGACATTATTACATATAAACTGCACTGCATGCCACAGGCTTGACATGGCCTCTATTGTCGATATTAATTTAATCTTGCATTATTTGCTTATTCATTCGTACACAAGCCATCTAAAGTGATTAAAAATCTACGAGGGTGCTCAAGCTTCGCCTTCAAGAGTAGGTTGCTGTAGCATAATTGGGCCCTGTGTGCATTGCCTTGAGCTTTGTCGCAAGGAAAAGAATGTTTGTGGGCATAACATTGACTGCTTCAAACTATCCTAGGATGTATACTTGATCTGCAGTTCTTAAGTGCCCACTACACTGTAGTTCTTGCTTTTGCTAACTGGTGAAGTACCAACTACTTTTCGTAATGTACCATGTGCAGTTGCGTAGCCGCACACTTTCTAATAGATGGGCAGCTTGAAACCACCCACTCGTTGCACGATTCAGTTGTTTCGACATGCGTTAAGATTCTCAGATTTTGCTGCGCATTACTATATGCACTAGGAAGACTCCTTTCGCTATATGACAATCATTTATTAATTCTTAATTTCTTTTTCTAAGCAGTTTTAACCAATGACTTGTCTCTGTGTTAGAACATCTGCTTGCCATGCAAGCAGCCTAGGTTCAATGCTCACTATGACCCAAAAATTTGTATTATTTTATTTGTGTCTTCTTTGGTTTTTCGGTCACGGACAAGATAATTTTTTGCTCACAACCTACGACACTGACACCTAAATTTTTGTGAAACAAGCTCTTCGAAGTTGTCGCATTAATATCTGGGTTTTCACATGCTAGAGCGGCAATATTATGAAGCTGCTGTGGTGGGGGAATTTCGGATTTATTTTGCCACCACCTGTGGTTTTGTAACTTGGACTTAAGCCTAAGTACCCAGGTATTTTTTAATATTTTCTTGTTTTTGCTAGAACTTTTTGCTAGTTTTGTCAACTAGAGGCTAAGAAACAGCGATAGTAAATGCTCGTTTATACAAACTGCTAATCCAAACTTTCAGTTAACTTGAATGGATGCCCTGGTTCCAGTACAGCCGTGTATTTATATGGGGAAAACTCCCGATAATTCGAACGCATCGATATTTCCCACAGTTAATTTGAACTTGGAGCACCTAGTTTTCATTGCTCCTCTCAAAAGTTGGTCCAGAGCGATCACAATGTGTTGCAAAAGCAAACAAAATTTACTAGAGACTCAAAACAATGAAACAGCAGCACTTCTCAGATGAGAATTTGGACACCTGTCAGGAGCTCTCTTGGTCAAGTTGCAAACAATACCAATAGAGTCGCAACAGACGAAATACAGGCAAATGCAAATTATTCATTACTTTTTATTATGATTGCAGTGAACCTGCCAGGTAAACAAACGTGTTTTAGAACACGAATAGCGCCACATTTTGGCACTAAGGCCCTCTGCTGGCATGAATGCATGTCGGTGCTTCTTTCTGGCGGATCACTGACAGATCAATCAATCGTGTTTGTAGTTAAAGCTCCATAAACAATTCACAAAATCACCTGCCACAAACGTGTAGTGGCGCCTAATTTGAAATAACGAGTCCAGAAGTGGCTTCTGCCTGTGCAAAGCAGTGCGATGTCCTTTCATTCTCCCACCTGCCCACTCATTCGAAGTATGCTTAATTTGAACAATTTCGTAGTCCCTTTTGATTTTCACAGTGAAAACTTTTAGGTTTGGATGAATTGACCCTCATGAGTAACGAATAGGCTTTCATCTAACTTCATTTTGCTGTATACTGTTGGATACGATAACTTTGTTGAAGGCACTAGTAACTTGCGAAAAACTTTCCTTGGCAACAAAGGGAAAGCTACGGGGGTGGAGCTACTGCATGTGTACTCCTCCGTGAAGTAGTTCGGTACGGCTTGCGCTTCGAATGACGGCCGTATTAGAATAATAACGTCGCATACCATTTGCTACGCCTGCTTAGAGGGCCACTGGAGGATGAAATTCGTCACAAGCTCCTTCGGCGATTCGTCGGAATAGCTGGAAGGCGACAAGCGCTCACCTAATGTCAAAAACACCATTTTCACTGCGATGTGCACGTAAAACATGCGACGTTTTCACACGTAGAAAAACAAAAAAAGATTACGAGTATCTTCTTGGTGCGTGCAGGGTCTCTTTATAAACAGCATGCTATAGAAAATAATGTTTTTTGTGGTTTTCACGTGGAAAACACGGATGCAATTATCAGACTATATTCTTCAGTGATGGCACACGCCCACTTCGGCTCTGTAGCCTTCCCTTGATTGCCAAGAAAAGTTGTCAGCAAGTGTACCATGTTTGACATTCTGTGAGCCACATCAAAAGATCAGTTTTTCTTCAATGGAGGTGTACATAAAATAAAATAAAATTGCAATATTTCCAGCCTTAAATGCAAAAGCGGAACATGAATTCACTGCGATAAGTATAATCGGATACAACTTCAGATGTCCACGGCATTTCCTCCTCAAAGGCGTATGTACATAAGCCATCACCCATGTTTGTGCACTACAGACTGACATGAGCAGGAGAGCAGGCGCCTTTGCCTTCTGAGAACATTGCCATGTGCATAAGCGGGACTACATTTTTGTTTGCGGAAGCGACTGGCTGCCACGCTTCAGTCGTATAGCTGGGGCTTCTCGGGATTTCCTAAGCTGCATCCAACTATAAATATTTAATTGCTATAAAACACAAATCAATATACAGTTGAACCCCTTTTAAGAGACACATACTGGGCAGCAGTTCTTGTTCCTTATATAAGGTGCCTCTTATAAGCAGGGTGCCATGTCCTCACCTTCAATTCAACCCTTATTTCAGTGCAAGAACACTGGTGTCTCTTATACCCCAAATGTCTTTTACATCAGTGTCTCCTATAAAGGGGTTTAACTGTATTACGACATTAGTTTTGTTGCAGTAAGATATTGAATGTTCTGCAACGTGTAAATTTGATGCGTTTACTGACGGTTCTTCCTAGATTGCACCTGAAAGGGTTAATGGTACATTCAACTGGGCACCACCAGGCTTTTGCTCAAATTGCAACAATGCCCATACCACCCTCGATCCCAGCCGGAGAAAGCACATCCTAGTGGGGGGAGCTGCTCACCAGGGAAATCGGAGTTCGGCTGAAGAAACGAGTCTGTGAGTTTTTTGTTGGAAGCAAACAAGAGAAGCATGCACTGAAAAAAAAACCACCCTGCACGCAGTCGCAACTGACATCGTGCCAGAACGAAAACTGCCAGAGTCGCATAACCAGACTTGGGTTATGCTCCAAGCCAAAGGCGAGAGCGCCTTGGAGCACTCCTGGCACAGCATTCCAAAAGCACCAGCCGAACGTATTTGGAGCACTCCATTTGAACAAGTCAAATCAGATGTGCAACGGCAAAAATTGAATGTGCCATAATACTACGCACAGTCGGAGGTTTGCTAGGTTCATGTCAGCTCAAGCAAAATCCATTTAACGATTCCAAATAATTTGGCTAGAATTTTTAATTCAAGCAGACCAATAGCGATAAACACTTTAATCTGTCCGAAAGCCAGGCCCAAATTTCAGATTTCAATCTCAATGGCTCCTTCTTCCTGGAAAAGAAACACTAGCACAGCTGCTACTATAGCAACAGCCCTGATAGTATGCCAACAGCCTTAGGCAAGGCAGCCAAGGTTATAATGCTTGCACAAAAAACGGGAACACTATGCATTGTTCATTCCCTGACAGCCATTTTGCCTCAACGGGCAATAAGAGTCTGCAGACTGTTTTTCATTGAGAACCACTCTTCTTTTATACATAATGTAGTTCACGTGATGAGAGAACAATGAGGAGCAAAAAAATACATAATACAGTAATCTGGCATTTGTCATGTAGTTTACATATTGCTTCGTGAAGGTGCTTCGCGCGAGTCGCGTAGCCTTTAGACGTTAACAATGCTGCCTGCGGCTCTGTACAGATCACACCTCGTGCAGCAGCGATGACGACGGATTTCAGGAACAAGCAACAACGTGTCCCTAACACCGCTCTTCGCGTTGCTTTGGGAAACCGAGACTATACTGACAGCTGCAAAGGTTAACAGCGCAAAACAACTGCAGCTTCGGATATTGGCCTGATGTACACACACATACACAAGCACAATCACAAACTGCTTAAAATATTCCTTTTCCTTTTTTTTTCCACTTCTTTGCAGAACTTTGGTTTCTTCGTTTCCGGAACAAAACCCATGGGTCGTTCTGGAAAAGTATCACAGTCTCGTCAAAGCAAAGAAAAAAAAAATGCAACTACTGTGCTTCGCCTTTTCGGAAACCACTCATTCCACACACTGTACAGAGATAACTTTTTCGGAGGCACCCGCACCACATCTTGCATGGCACACATGCCAATCCGAGGCTCGGATGTTGTGCGCACTAAAAACAACATGGCAAGTAGAGTCGAAGAAGAGAGAGTGAGCCGTGGACAATGACGGTGACAAGTTGTGAGCAATAAATAAATAACAAGGCGACATTGTCGCAACAACCTAGGAACATGGTAATGTGCAGAGCTCTAGCCGATACGTGCACGCTTCGGCCCACGTTTTCGTAGAGTGCCGGAATGCAGCCACCAGCAGCAGCATTGGCAGATGCCATTCTGGACCAAACGACATATTCTGCTACTGCATACACTCATGTCTTGCCACATAATGCTTCAATCAAGTTTCACTGAATCGGTAGACACTCTGTCATAAAAAAAACAACCAATAGAGAATGCATACACAGAACAAAAGAGTGAGAAGGACGACTACTGCCCTAACACACGTTTTCGCTTTAATATCTTGAAATTGTCTCGGCACTGGGATTGCCTCTGTGCTTGCAGGTCTATATGGTTGCTATTTTTGCAGGTCCATGAGATCTGTGAACTTGAGCTATTAGAGCAGTACTGTTCAGTGTACTTCTTGTCTCTCGTGTGCAACATTTGTTCAGTGGCTTTTGCATGAGTACACAATAGTTAAGCGATGCAAAGGGCTTGTAGCGAGTACACCAAATCATCCTGCCAATAGGTGCCATACAGTAGAATGTATCAATAACATATGTGCGCAGTGAAATGATATAGGACAATCTTGGTTCTAATACGGCATACTGTCACACTTAGAGCTGCTGGTGCTGCTTGCGTATCAGGCCTGACATTGCTTTTGAAAACATGAATACGAGTACATGTACGTACTGGCTAAAGCTCGCTTCTTTTCACGACAAGTATGGCGTGGATACAGTTCACCAAAGCTTGCCATGGTGAACAAGAACTGAAGGGTGAAGGGCACTATAAAAAACGGAGGTACGCGAAGTGTTCGGTGGTATGTCGCTGCAAGAGAACACCTCCAAGTCTTTTGCGCTATCTCCCCCAATGCCATAATGATAGATCAAGAATGGTAATAGAGAATGATGCATATTTTTACGAACTCTCATGATGAAGCTGGACTCAAATGGCAGAACAGACACTTGATGCACTGTGACACCAGGCAAGCTAACTTCAGCGCTGCTATTTACGGACTGAATGCTCGTTGTGCGTTTTTTGGAATTGTGCGCATTTGTCGTCACAGTGCAGTGCACGTTATTGCATTTACGAAGATTTACCCCAGGAGTGTGTGTCACAGATTCAGGCAATTCGAAGGTTGGACAATAAGCATGCGACACACACAGACAGGCACTGTGTCCCATCATCTGAATCCAGCTTTTACAAACAATGCTTCGATGATAGGCATGAAGATACAGAAAGATGGTGCAGGTCGTCTGCACGTGCAAAAAATGGGAGTTGGGGAAAGTAGATGGAAGTGAGAGATGAAAGCGTTAAAGACAATAGAGAGCAACAATAGTTTAGTTTTGAACAGCTAACGGTGTTAGTGAGTGAACAACATCAAAAGTGAAAGAATGGAAGGAGAACTTGCAAGCGCGTGGGGCGACAGTGAAGGCCCTGTAACAATGCTCCTGACGTGCAGTCAACAGTAACAAAAAAGAAGACAAGCAGAGGAGGCACAGGCAGCTTCGCCGAAGGTGGGGGCAAAAGAAATGAAACAATCGTCGACGGAACCCACAACAGCCCTGGGCTCTTCGGTCCTGTCGGATGCAACGCTTGATTTTTATCACAAAAACACCCACCTCCATTCATCATTTGGACCCTAGTTTTCAAAAGTGGGCATTTGGCACAGCCATTACTTTCGTTTGCTCGCCCGCAGAAGCTCTGCACCATCAGCAGTTGCAAAAGAACGCGTCAAAGACAGTCGATGCGTTGGAGCTTCGCTAATGCTTGCTTGTAGGCATAAAACGAAAATGCCTGCTAATACAGCCTTGTCTCGGTGGCTGCTCCCATAAAAAAGATGCACTGGTTGGGGCATGGCTACCATCGAAACTGACAAAAACTTTGTTAGCGTTGTCTGTTGCCAATGCTAGCAGATGATGCTGGACATCCACTCAAAATGAACTTATTGCAACCTATTAGAGCAGTGTGCCCAACAACACACACACAATGCCAAGCCCCAAACGATGCGAGAAATTCTGCATCGGACAGAACCCAAGAGCCACGTGGCGCAACAACAGTGCAGGCATGCAACGAATGCGGAGTGAAGCCATCAGCAACAGCCCCGAGCGCGCCTTCAGCGGGCCTCGTCCGTGGTGTTGGCAACCCTGTCAGCCTCGAGCGAATCGCAGATGGCGATGCCCTCTCCCGGGGGCTCGTTGTCGGTCTGGGCACACTAGGAGCCTCGCTCGGGCAGGGGAGCCAGCTTCTCGTACATGAGGAACACAATGCAGATGTTCGGGGTCACGTGGAGGAAGTAAGCCGTGACGCCCTTGTAGAAACCTCGCAGGCCCTCATACCTGCAGAGCACATTGAACGACCACTGCGGTCAGTGTCAGTGATCACAGGCCTTAAATAATGAAAGGATGAATTGACCACTTGGCAAGTTAACTTCGGTACACCGTAAGAAAATGCGAAATGAAACAATGCTACACATTCACATGTATTGACAAAAAGCATATAGACAAGTATAGATGCACACGTCAAGCCCTCATTGTTATCTCTGTCACACAACAATTGGGCCATCTCCTATGCTAGGTAGGGTCGATCAAACAATCACGGTGCTAAGGCACTCTTTTATTATACACAGCTAACCGCAGCGCTAATGTACCAACTGACCATACGAAGCTAATCACCGAGCACCAGCTGACGGACCATTCAAAGCTAACCGCACAACTAGACTTCAACTGCACACTCACCGAAAGGTTCGCATGACGACTTCCTTGAGGCCCTCGTAATTCTGGTGTTGGTCCTGGAGGCGTGCTCTCATCAGCTGATATGGGTAAGTGACACTAGCAGAGAGCAGTTTGGAGAGCGCAGCAAACGTCAGGTACTCAAGTGTGCCCTGGAAACAAGATGAGGGCACAACTGTTGACTGTCTTGCTGGGTTGCACCTCTACTAATTTTTACTAATAAGGTAGTACATAAAACAGGCAAATTAGAGCATAATCACTTATGGCGCAAAAAACATTCAGGACTAGAAAGTACATGACACACTGTCTAATGAGAGTGCTTGTGTCAATAATTAGGCAGCGCTTCTTTGATGCCCTTTCTTCTAGTCCGGAGTCTTGCTTGCACGGGCCATTTAAAGTAATTTTTCCGACCAATGTGCTCAGGAATAAATCTGTGCCAGAATATGTGATGTGCAGCGGCAGTGGTTGGCCAAAACGCCACTGCTGCTGTTGTGGCATTGTACAGTGGTGCATCGCTTATGCGCAATGTCGTTCGCTGTTGGTGGGCCAGAGTTCATTTTGAAGCGATGCCTGCCTGGAACACTGTAGACTGCTCAAGCTGACTGGGAAGGTCCTCAATGAAGACGTTTCACGAGAAGGTACCCCAAAATAATAACAAAGTTTTGCTCATTTTACTGGGAAATAAGCACTGAGGTATGTGGAAATCGCCTGCACTTTTGTGAGCTCCCTAACAAAAGGAACTCGGAGGGTGGCAGGCTCAGCGTAATTCTTCGCTGCTGCCATATGCTGGAATACAGCTAGTTACATTGCACGCCCTCTGTGCCCGATTTTGTGGCAGCGGATCCACTGTGCAGTGTGCCATCGATGTAGAATCAACAGCATTAGTGTCGCAAAAATCAGTAAACACCTTCACGTTTCTTTGCAAACGCAGGTGCCAGCGATGCATGTGCTCATTTTGAACTATCCTATTAGAAAACCCAGGGGCGCTGTCCCAGAGCTATACATAATTATTGGACCAGTGTGGCACTGGGTACTGGGAGTCTCGCACACTGCACGACACACGGGCAACACTGGCATGCGGCACACCCCTTTAGGGCCGAAATCGGGCTTTTGAAAACTCTGGTCATGGCCAGATCATAATTGGGCTATAAACGAGCACTGTGAAAAGTGATGGCGACAACATAACAGAAGATAGTTAATTCAATTGTTATGTTTTGTCCAGGATCAGAATGTCGATCTGGCATGTTTTGTCGAAAAACATGTTGGCATAACCACCAATGTGAGCGGCATTCAACTTTTCATTGAACTTCCAAGCAAACTTCTATGCGCGCAAGCTTGAACATACGTGGGTGCACCGAGTTCAGCAGATGACGGTTGGCCCCTTCCGGAAGGGAGTGATCATTTTGAAAGCTCACACTGAGGCTTTTCTTTATTTTAGTCTGTTTATTTAACTACAACTATTATACACAGTGTCTATGAGAACAAGCACATCTGATTCAAACAGCCCTTTTGATTTATGTCAGCTATCAGCCAATAAGCTTTTCCAAAGTCAGATGACAGACGCCTGTCCACCGACTAGAGAGAACCGGTCGCCGGTTGAAAACAGATCAACTGGGAAAGCAGACTTTGCGCTCTGCTTCTAACCTATAAGCGTTGCGCACGGCTGCAATATTTAGCTCAGCAGCCCGAAGCCATGTCTGCTTCCCACAGGAGGAGTTTTTTCAACAAACATGAGGGCGATTTCACGAACACTTTACCCTGAACCGAAAGCACAATAACAAGCATTTATTTTTTAGTTTTTTGAAGTCCTGTTCAATCCAAATTGCACACAGTGACTAGAAATCTAATCTGCAACCCTCACAACCATCAGCTGAAACACAGTGCCACTGATATAGCAAGTAATTTAAGAATGCCCTGTAAATGTTGTGACAATGAGACACATATGCTATTCAAACATTTTCCATTTACTAGAGTGTGCATTATTTCAACACCATGAAAGTGCACAACTTTCACTCTCAAAAAGTTCGCTATACATTTCTGCAGCTGTACTCGTCTACGACAAGGCATTGTTACTAAATCACCATATGCTGACCCAACAAAACCAGCTGTTATAGGCCATTTTTCTTCTACATTACCCCAGTAATGAGATGAACGTTACATTCTAAGCCAGTTTCTGAATGCTGCAAGTTCAGCAAACACCAATTTGCAGAAAGATCCGGCCTGGTGGAAGTTTTTTTTGTAAATTAGCACCTTCCAAGCATGCGGCTTGTGGGTTTGGCACTCGCAGCGATTTCGCATTGTTTGCAAACAGAGGGGGGGTCTTTAGCACGGTACTAACTAGCAAAAGCACTGCATACCAGTTTGGCGTGTGGAGAGATGTTGAAGCGACTGCAGTACGCCTTCTTCATTTCCTCGTACACCATGAACTGCAGTGCTCCATGGGATACGTTGAACATGCCTGGCACAAATCCCTGCAGCAAACAGAGATGAGCAGTTTGTGACGAGAGCCTTATAGTCTGCACTATAGATATGGTTTCTTCATCATCGCCCACTACTACGCCCACTACTACGCCCACTGCAGGGTAAATGCCTCTTCACTATGCCCACTACAGGGTAAATGCCTCTCCCATGTTCCACCAGTCAACTCTTTCCTGTGCTTGCTGCTGCCACTTTATACCGGCAAACTTCCTTATCAAGGTTGGCGTACCCAGCAGCCGGACAAACTATTATTTCAACTCATTTATTCCTAAAACCAGCTCGGACTGGAACCACCTCCCCACCTGCATTGCTTCAATAATTAATCCAGCCAATTTCAAGGTGGCTATTAGTGGCCATATTACCTGATTTTTTTTTTTTCCGCGAATTCCGCGGTTTTGTGTAAATCCTGCTCGGTTATTCCCGTGTATGGCAAATGTTTTTCGCGCCTTTGATTTTTCCTTTCTGTTATTGTTTGTTTATTTTTCCAGTTTATGCGGATATTTCAAATATGTTTCATATGTGTAATCACACTCCTGCTGCATTGTATACCTGTAGAGTGTTTTACCCCCCACTCCTCTCTGTAATGCCCTTGGCCCTGAGAGTAAATAAATAAATAAATAAATAAATAAATCTCATCTGCCCACCTAACTTACTGTCTCCCCCTCAACTGCTTGCCTTCTCTGGGAATCCATTCAGTTACCCTTAATGACCAGTGCTTATCCTGCCTACGCGCTACCTGCCCAGCTCATGTCCATTTGTTCTTGATTTCAACAATGATATGACCCACTCTGCTCTCTTCTTGTCTCCTAAGGTTACACCTATCATTTTCCTTTTCACCGCTTGCTGCGTTCCCTCAATTTAAGCTGAACCCTCTTTGTGAGCCTTCAGGTTTCTGCTCCGTAGGTAACTACCGGCAAGATGCAGCTGTTACATACCTTCCTCTTCAGGGATAGTGGCAATCTACCAGTCATGATAGTTAAGCCATGCCCGCATGGCTTAACTATATTGAAGTCGACAGTACACGGCTTTGTCACATTTTCCCTTTTCTGTACACACGTACGAGTTTCATAATGGTGTCATGTTCAAATACATTGCAGTCTTCTCGTAAATGGGACAGTTTCATCATAGATATCACAGTTTGTCGCATGAGACAGAAGTATGGCCACAAGGTTCATTTCAGTGCATGTTTTCAAACGGTACTGGTATCGGTTCTCTTGCATTTACTCCACTTAACTTGTGAAATGAAATATTTGTATTTACTAAAATTCCGATTGCTTAGAATGATTTATGTCCACATATTGCCTCAGCACACTGCATGATGATCTTCAGTGGGACCAGCAACAGGCACCCGAGAGTATTGCCTCCTACATCAGTATATATATTATCTTTGACTTATGCTTTGCATTACAAAAAAAAAAAAAAGAAAGAGAAGAACTTATACTTTGAAGCAAACAGCTTTTCATGCAATTAGACCTGTGACACCTTGAATGAGAACAAAAAAACAACAGACGAATTCAATAAAAATATTCATTTGTTTTCGAGGTGGCCTGTACGAACATGGAGAGATGCATGTCGATTTCACAACACTGTTTTCCCATAAATTGCTGCTTACCACTCATACCAATGCTAATCTATAACAGTCCTTCTGGATCACAATGGTGTCTCCCAGCCGTTCATTTCAAGAATAGTGCACCACAGGCGGCTGTGCTTCCTTACCCTGTAGAGGCCAGTGACCCCTTCGTACTTGTAGACCTTCTGAAATGCGTCCAGCATGCCAGAGTAACGGCGGGTGGCCGGCAAGTCCATGTGGTGGTCAGCGTACTGCAGGCACATGCGAGTCTTTACCATGGTGATCGGGTTGGTGATGACTAGCGTCAGCAGCCCTGCAATGACACAATTGTGGCCCATCTTACCCAGATGGCGAAAAAATTTGAAGTGAGAGTGTGCTAGCAAAGTACAACAACCATTAAAAAAATGAGGTTCGAATTGAATGAAACTGATGATCATTCCCCAACATTGCATAGCATGTGACAACCTGTGAAAATCAAGACTAGCAAAAATTGTGCAGATGCATCACGTGTGGTTGTGGTTGGGTTAATGAGTTCTTGTGTACTTTCTCAAACACACAATGTAAGCAATTTTGCAATGAAGACAGTATGTACTTCAAAATTGAGAATCTGCAATAGCCAAGCAAATACCAAAGTTAATACCGTAATTACTCGAATCTAACGCGCACCTTTTTTCCGGCTAAGCGAGTTCATAAATCGCATGCGCGTTAGAATCCAGTACGAAAAAAATGAATACAGTCATTCTATTGCCATCGGCATTTCCAAAATGGCCGCCCCCTACGTGCGTCGGCCGTTTCTTCCCATGTGCGGCACTTCGTACGTGTGCCGAGGAGTTCGTCATCTAGTAGTGCATTAGCATCAACGGCGTGGAAGAGCCGACTCCAAAAACTCGACGAGTGCACCACGATGCCGCTTTTAAAAGAAAAGTCATCGCGTGTGCCGAAACGGATGGAAATCGGGCCGCATCGCGGTCGTTCGGAGTTCCCGAAACGTGCGTGCGGGACTGGCAGAAACAAAAGCAGAATATTGTCGACAGCAAAGATTCACGCGAAGGCTTCAGTGGACCACAGCAGGGTCGGTTTCCGCAAATTGAAGAGCTGCTCGGCGAGTATGTGATTGAGCAGTGAGCGGCACAGCGGCCTGTGACGGCAGAACTGCTCCAAGTACATGCTATGCAGTTAGCCTTGGAAAAAGGGTTAATGCGGAGCCAGTTTAAAGCGAGCATGTGCTGGCTAATTAACTTTATGAAGAGGAAAGGCTTTTCCCTCCAAAGGTGAACGGGCATATGCCAAAAGTTGCCGGAGGAGTATGAAGAAAAGCACAGTTTTCAGAGGTTCGTCCTAAACTTGCGGCACAAACTACCTGCTTGGGCAAATCGGGAATGCCGATCAGACGCCTCTTTACTTCGACATGCCTGGCACCACAACAGTCGAGAAGAAGGGGGCGAAGCAAGTTGGCGTGCTGACATTAAGCCACAGTAAAACTAGAGAGACGGCAATGCTTCGTTGCACGTCAGATAGGCCCAGTACCTCATATTTAAACGGAAGACGCTCCCGAAAGGATTTGTTTTCCCGAAGAGTGTGATCGTGCGGGCCAACGAGAAAAATGGGTGCGCGTTACAATCAATGTGTTACTTTTTTTTTTTTGTCGTGGAAACCAAGTGCGCATTACAATCGAGGGCGCGGTAGAATCGAGTAAATACGGTAAGCGCCGCAGTGAGCATGAAAAAACAGACAAGAGCAGTATCAGTGAAGAGCCTCGGACAAACAGTCATGTAGAGCTGCGCCAAGCAATTAATTTCAAACCTAAAACGCTGTTTCAAACATTTAATGTAAGCTACATGGTGTACCAAAGCCCCAAATTGGCAACAATTAGTGTGATGTACAAAACACCTCAAAAAAACAAAATTGGCTTTAGGGTAAAGGCCCCCAAATCACCCAGAGGTCAAAATGCAGTTGTACAATGCACACACGGCTGCAAAAATTGTTTGAAATGGCCCTGTATTAAGGGGGCAGACTGGTCTTTGGAACCAAAAAGCGACAAAAAAATTCATTTTTAATATCGACATATTCGGTTCCTGAAAGTATTTTTCTATCTCTCTGCAAATTTTCACACACCAGGAAGTGGTAATTTTTTTGTGATGTCATTCTAACTGTCCAGATTCTTGGTGCTGTTAACATGCAGAACCTGCGAAAAAATGGGGAACCTATTCGTTGGCTCGCCCCTACTCCTGGCAAAAGTGTCCCTTCTGACTGTGCAAGATGGTAAGCTGGTAGCAGGCATACTTGCAGGTCGACAAACAAGTTTCTGCCGATGCAGACATGGCCAGATTTTTCCGGCGACATCACAACCAACCAATAACGGAGATATCCAAAGGCCCAGCGAGGAGCGCAGGAGCATTTTGCAATTTTGTAGCGTGCCTGCAGTGCTGCCATGTTTGGCACAGTTGACCGCAACTGCATTTTCAACCTGATGTGCACATGTAGGTTAACTGTTAAGTAATATGTTGGAAGTGGCTCAGGACCCCTCAAGGTCAATTTGTGTTTAAAATGAAAAAAAAAAAAAAAATGTTCCCTCTGTGTACACAGGTTTAAAGCTATGAGAAGAAACTAATAAGAACACTCAAAGAAGATTGAAGTCACACCTTTCCTTGAAATAAAATTACTCATGACTCCTTCTAAGGACTTGGGCAGGGGGACAAGGGCACTTCTCCCAACAGACTTGAAAAACAACTACTAGGGCCACAACAAGTCAATTTGATGAAGCAAGCCCCATGACGTCAAAACATTAGAGCTGTCAAAGTGCAAAGCTCAGCTGTATTCAGTTCAAACCAGCTCAAGGCTTCTTCCACAGATTAGACTCGGACAGGAAGACTGTCCCCGACGGATAAGCAATGTGGCCTACCACCCGCAGGGAGATAAGCACGGAATATTCCGAAATGCTCACTCAGATCTCCTTCCGACAGGGCAGAAAAAAAAAAACAAGATGTCACACTTTGTGCGCGAGATATTACGCCACTCGAGCCGTGCAAAAAGTTAACAGCACGTCTCGCGCAAAATGTTGACAGTCTCTCCAGAGGTGCGACGAGATAGCATATCTGCCAAACCCAGCATGAAAAAAAAAAGTCGCCACTTGACGTGTGCTGCTTGTTAGGAAAAGTTGGAACACATATCCAAAGGGCATCCGGATGTGAGCGAGCCTAATGCAATGGCTGGCCACAATTGCAGCAGACAGGAAAAGATAGAGAAATGAGCGTTGCGCATGTGTGCAAACGAAAGCTACATAAACACACTACAAGGCCTCCAAGAAGAAGAAGCTATTCCTGACTGGGGTTTTGAAACTTACCCAAAGCGTACTTTTAATTTATACAGTCAAGCCTGTATATATTGAAGTTACATATAAAGTATACATCAAGTTACCTATTCATAAAAGATTTTCTTGTGATTGCTTTCAAACTCAATATATTACCCCTGTCACACGTGGCAACATAAGTACACTTTGAGCGAGTGACACTCACCAAGTGTCATTTTGTTGGTACGCTACTACACAAAAAAGCGAAGTGTGGTACTTTGGAAATGATGGCTGTGGCAATTGGCGGACTTGTAGCGCAACATGTATTTGATATTTTTGTGCCCGTGTCTCATCAACTGAACACATTGTCTTCGTAAAAGTGGTACCGGTGGCACATGCCATCACAAATGACTAGAGAACGGTTTACCTGCACATGGGCAAGTGCGCGCATCCCCTTAGCAAATGTGGCCCCAAACTGCCCGAGGGTGAGAGTAGCGAGGTTTACTCATTGTATTATGCTTGTTTTAATACATGACAGCATTGCTAATAATGAAAACAATGGCTTAAAAATGCTACAAGCACCACTTCAGACAACAGTGTATTTTTGTGCAAACCACTGCTACCGAGGCTCGACACTGTAGCAGCGAAGCGAGGTTGACGAACACACTTGCCGGAAAGTGTACTTTGCAACGAGTGACGCAAAACTTTCCCATGTAATAGCGTGCGAATGACACTCTGCGCCGAAGTGCACTTGCTCGAAGTGCACTCAAGTTGCTACGTGTTGCAGAGCTATAACCAATGGAGGCAAAGTGATGTTTTGTCGAAGGTGGACTTCACGGACTAACATTCAGGCTACAAAGGGTGCTTAGTAAGCGAGCGAAAGTTTAATTTTTGAAACCACCCGAGCTTTTTAGACGTGAAGTTACATTCAAGCGCAAAGTGTTTGTTCTTTGGCACGATGTTGCACAATATTCGGTGGAATAGTGGAGCTCCATGGCAACCGAGTAAGATTACAACAGGTTGAAGCTTCTAGTATTACGCTTGAATTTCAACACTTAAACACTTGAACCCCTTTACATGAGACGAGCACTAAGAAGCGATTCGTGTCCTTTCTAAGAGGTGTACTGCCTCAGAAGCAGCGTACCAATTTTAACGTGGGAACACTGGTGTCTCTTGTAGCCACTTCTCTGTTGCATCAGTGTCTCCTAATAACTAATAAGTGCAGATTTCAAGTGCTCTTCAGGCAAGCTGCAAGGAAGCACAGAAAATTTTGTTGCCTTAACAGTTCCAGCAATTGCGGAAAGCCATTTCTAAAGTTATGCTCTGGAGTTTCGAAATACATAATCAGAAATCGAATGAAGTGTACAACGATATGGTCACGTTTTAGCTGTATGGTGAACGGAATGTTATTAAGTATTGCACAGCAAAGTTAACTTTACGTGGGCAATGAAATGGATGTGCTAATTGGTCTACTTTTGATCCAAATTCAATTAATAAAGATTTGATACTCAGAGCATAAAAGCAAAACTACACTTGAAGTTACTTCATTAAAAAAAATATAGCTTCACTATTAACGTCAGTTTTACTGCTGTTTAATTAAAAGCTATCTCACTTGCACACAGGCCAAACAATTATTTAGTATCACTATACAACATAAAACAAAGTCGTATTGGCCAGGTCCCAGCTTGCTTTACAAAGGGCAACCTGGCAGCCATATTACAAAAGTTTACAGGAGATATCTGTATTTATTTCGGTCAATGGCCTTGGGTGCTTCACAATGCCTAGGTCAACTGGTGAAATTCCAGCCAGTCATATTACCCATGTGACACATAAGGCCACTTTCATTGGCTTGCAGTATCCCAAAGTGCTGACATGCTTTGCGCACTGGAAAGGCACAGATAAGCTGGATAGCAAACAATGCGAGGAAATGTGCGATGCCGTACAGTGCGAACATGATTCTGTTTCGAGATGTTTACACTGCCATTGTGAATGGTTGCACAACTTCAAGACAGACAGAAGAAATGCACTGTCTGCGACAAAGGCGAGCCAATCTTTCGCAGCGAGTGCCACCAACTTGGCCAAGGTTGACTTTCGCTGTTATACAGGTAAACCTACAAAGTTTGTACTCAAACAACATTGTGGCAAAATTCCTTAAAGTGGTACCGACACGAAAATTTTCAGTTAATTTTCTTTTGCCCTCGATAAAATATCAAGACTTTAAGAGCCCAGAAAAAGTACTGCTAAGCATACTATGTATCCTGAAAAGTTGAATGCATCTTTTACAAAGGCGGTTTCAGGTCCTACTGATCCTGGCCACGACAGCCAAATTTTCGGTGGAGGCGAAAGTGCTTAATTTGTGTGGCCTTATGTGTCCCATGGGTAATATGTGAGGTGTTAAAAATTTCCGAAAGAAGCCCAGGTGGTCAAAATTTCCGGAGCCCTCCACTACAGTTTCTCCCAATTATATGGTGGTTTTGGGTTGTTAAGCACCAACAATTATGTTTATTATTGGCTCCTACTGTACCACGATGTCACGACACAGTATGAGCTTCCAGTCACCAGCCTTCCATGAACAAACCTTCTGCCGAAGCATCCGTTTACAAGCTGCACTTTGGAATGAATAAAGTGACCACTTAATTATCTGATGCTGCTAATATGCAAGATCATATTCATTACCTGAATGCTGTACCCTTTTGTTCAAAAACAAATGTAGCATAGATTAGTCTTGCTTACATTTAACTTTATGCATTCTTAGATGGTAATTCACATTACTGGCGTTCTTTTTGAAATTTGTAGATCAAAATATGGTTCTTGTAATTTCTGCTTGAAAAGAAGAAAAAAGCCCGCTCCCTGAATTGTGTTTGACTTTCTATACGATGCTTAACACTAGAAGTGTTATCAGCACTGTCTGAAGTTTTTTGCATGTGCGTATAACAGGGTAACATTGCAAAATGTTTACCCTTCAGGACGCTTTCTCAAGAACGAGCGTAGGACCCGGTGAATGGCATCTAGTGCACGCGCCCACTGCACGGTACTGGGTGGCAACTCACCAGACTCTGCAGCTGCCATCATGTGCCTGCCAGGACCGAGCTGTTTGTCAGGGCTGCCGTCCAACATCCACGACTTGATGGAATTGTAGCTGCACGGAACAGGTCGCAATGTATCATTTATGACAATCAAATATAAGTGAGCGGATAACTTTTTTTTCTTTTTGCAATGTTTCTACGCTTGCGGAAAAGCCTGAACACCTATACAGGAAGCCTCACCCCTATCCCAAAGTACACAACAGAAAATTGGCCTACTTCGTTCTTATGCGGCACTTATCCCAACAAGGCCGGGAAGCAGAAGTAGGTCAACAGAAATAACCCACACGCTGCTAATTTTGACAACCAAAACCCTGCCCACACCAGCCAAGCTTCGACAAGTGGACTTTACTTTTTCAAGGCTGCAACACATTTAGTTCAGATGTTCCTCCTGTATGTCCGTGTATTTGTGTGTGCGTGCACACACGTATGTGTATGCATGTAATATATGTCTCATAAAATTTGCGCACACTTACTTATATTGTACTTATGTTATGTATACACAATTTAGGTAGACCTCAGCAGGCACCATAAAAATCCATAACATCATCGAAGCCTGCTACTAAAACATTACGGACGTGTCACTTCTTGTGATGTTCCCATTACTTTTAGTGCATTATTTTGCTTATAAGGTCTTGTCTCAAAACAACGACCCAAATGCCTTCCCAGCATGTGCTTAAATTTCATGTTTTATCATGCCCATGCTCATCAGAGTTCTAGTTTTGCGGCACCTATAGACTGCAAGCCAGCTAATGAAAAAAAAAGCATGTTGTCAAAGTTACACCAACACTTCATGGAATACCACAGCAAGAATATGAAAATTACAATGCCCTGCAGTTTCATAACATAAAAAAACAACTTAATACATCCACAACTGTGTGCAGGAATCAAACCCATGACATTGCATTCGGCAGGAAAATGCATTAGGCATGAAACCTTGGCTCGGAATAAACAATCCTGTTCAGTCACGCATAACAGAACGAGGCGAGGGAGCAGTCTGAAACGCTGCCAAGCTAATGAACGTGACTTAAGACATCTGGCTGACACCTGGACGTGCAACTGTACCAAAGGCCGAAGCATAGAATGTCGGTTAGTTTCCGACACCTGGAGCAGACACAGATATCTATCAAATTCTGACACACACTGCTGAAAGTTAAAAGGGAAGTCTTCAGTGCTATACAACTGTGCTCGGCACGCCGACCTGGACATCATCAATTGCAAAATACGGATACGAGCTCCGAGGCAAATGTGTTTAATGGGACGGATAGGACTAGGACTAGTAGAAATACACGAGAAAAAAAAAATTAGATGAATGATTGAAGTGTTCAGCTCTAAATTAATTGCAGTACAGTTTAATAGTCTTCATAAACATATAACAGTTTTCCCAAGCACTTGGGTAATGACAAGCTCGACCTGTAGTATTTTTTCTATGCACTTAATCAAATGTCGGAGAGACTAACGAGGCCAGCTGGACGCTTTGCATGCGAAAAACAACACGTCACTGGAATCTGTGGGGAACGAACCCCCCCTACGAGGGGTGAGCGAGAGGCTTCACCCGATAATGACGTCTCGAACAAGCAACGATGCCTCGGCTGTAAACAAGGAACCCATTCCACGGATGAATGCACAGCAGAGGTGAGGCGTTGTTTACGACAAAGCGTCTTAACCGTGCTGCGATTCTGCTTTGACAATGCACTGCCGAATCCAGCCATGAAGTTTACGAGCAAGTATTGCTGGCTGCAGACTTTCACTCAGAACAATTCAGACCTTTTGTGAGCAGTCTCTGAATGACTTGCAACAATGACTCATTCCTGTGCATTTCACTTTCAAAAGTTGTGCTTTCTTTGGGCCGTCCTCGTAAAGCATAGCTGCGTGTAATTAAAGAGCAGTAGGTGAATTAACACTTTGAAGACAAAGTATGTGCTTTAATGTATCAATTTCATAGATGTTTGTTGTATGCAGTATTGTTTGTACAATCAAGTAGGGTTCCCATATGTAATGCACCAAAACAACACAAATTTGAAAAAAACATAGATTTAGTTAATAGCGAATTTCTGAGAAGCTCATTGCAATAGCCGTCACTAAAATCTTTAATAGCATTATTAACATGGAACAAATGCAACACAAACTGTGCTTATTAACATCAAGGTCTGGACTAGTTAGTGCTCACTTTAAAGCACAAGGCATTAACAGCAAAAACAATTTTTTTTCATGCTGTTAATGCCTTGTGAATTTTGCTACTTTGCAGTGTGCCATTCACTTTTTGAAGTGAAGCTTTTGTCGATTGGTCCTTCCTTACGTCTTGGCTATGAGCAATAATACATCGAAACCAAGTGTGTACGGCAAAGCCAGTTGTACCGGTTATGTAAGTATTTATTACGCCGGCATAAATTAACGACTGTTGATTTGGGACTTACAAGAGGAAGTAGAGGCCCCAGGAAGTGCCGGCACCCCAACAGTTTGGTGCCACACCACGATAGAGACCCCGGATTCCTTCTTCCCTGATGATGGTCGAGACAGCGTTGAAGATGCCCTGGTATTGCGGCCGGCTCTTCAGCTGTCCATCATTAACTGTAAAGAAATTATGACAGACGAGATAAAGCATGAAGTGCATCATTTCTTGGGAGCTAGAGCAATAAAATGCATGTTGCCGTACAGATGAGAAAAGTGCAAGGCAAAATTAGGAAAGGAAAAAAATATATTTAGAGACGCCTATCACATTTGGCACAATGCACATTATACTGCGGGGAGGCAAGGATGATAAATGTGTTGTAACAATGCCAATGCTGAAGTGAACGCTTATGATGCTATGCCAAAACTGTAGTAACTGCACAGTGTGTAACAATGTTGAAAAGATAATGTAAACAACAATGAAAAGATAATGTTATATTTGTGGTTTTAAGTCCCGAAACCATGATACGAGCTGAGGGCAGGCTTCGAAAATCTTGAACATCTGCCGTTCTTTAAAGTGCACTTGGGCTTCCAGCACTTCGCCTTATCTAAATACGGCCATCGTTACTGTGACCGAACCCACGACCTTCAGCATAGCAGCCGAACACCATAGCCGCTGCTCCACTGTGGCAGACGATGTTGAAGAGAAAAGTTCCATTTTTTTGTTTCTCAACACAGAAATACAAATTTGAACACATTGACTATGCATGCATATTTAAGCTTTTGTATACACGAAAGGTACAAGGATTTTCAAATGCAACAAAATGAGAAGAAAGGAATTGGTTTTTAGCAAGGCAAGCAGGATGAAATGTGTAAGAAGACAATGACATATGACAACTAGTGTTGCATACTGAATGACCTGCTTCATTATCAGCACTGTCTCTTTCAAGCTCAATCACGAGTTGACTTGATGAAAACAATAGTGACCTTGCAACTTTCCATGTCAAGTTCTTGTGCCTAGTTGCCAACACCACAAGTTGGATGGCAAACTGTCACAAACAGAACCCTTGCCTAACGACGAGATGTTCTTGGCGTGTGAGCTGTCATAAATCGGCTGAGCATGCAAACTCCCAATTTATCCGCCATGATGAACAGACAGAACATCCCGACAAGCTCAAACGTGAAAAAACTGAATCAAAGATGGAAACAAAAAAAAAAACAAAAAAGCCAGCTCAAGTTCGGCAGACGAGACTAGGAAGCTATGTTCTGTTTAACATGAATTCCGTTTATTGAGAGGTGAACGGCAGTGTAGTATTCAAGTGTAGAAGCAGTCATGGTAAACACAGTGATGCAGTCATTCTATTTAATCAGAAATTCCGTTTGATAAGAGATCTGCATTTACTGAGAGTTTGTTGTACACGCAGCAGTGTCTGCACGTGGCATACTAGACACCTCAAAGACAACTTGATATGTGGGCAAGCCATATATTTATTTTTTTTTACTTAGGGCTTTCAGTTTTCAGTTGAGATTTCATACAAAGTTTAGTACATATCTCTGGGTCATGTTTTATCGAATTTCCCATTGTCGGAGATTCAGACTTTCTTTGGATGCTTTAAATGGTGAAAAATGGAAACAAACACGTTAAGCCACACAAGAACTAGTCCTAGATGATATGGGATACTTTATTAGGATGACATGTCAACAATGGATTTCCTCAACACTCACTGTTTGTACACTAAGCATTACAGCTTGCTCTTGCATGTAAAAGGAGAAATGTCTGAACCCCACTTCGAAGGTATGGATTTTACATACTAAAATAAAAGGTGGATCCTTGTCCACTTCAATGTTATTCATTTTAGGTTATGGTCATTACACTGCAGATAAAAGCAATAAATAATGTCTCTTATGCTTTCGTTGGCTTAACTGTCAGCAGGATTCATAGTTTGGTATAGTAGGAAGCTTAGAAACGCATCACTATATTCAAATCAGTAACGGGAGTGCACTCCTTTATAGTAATCACCTAAGCAAATAAATTGCACTTTCAGAAGTTTGTATTTTTTGCAGTCATAGCACTGAACGAAACTCCCAAATATTAGGATCAACCCACATCAATTTTTTTCAGTAGATGTTTTCCAATGCTCTTTTTTGCAGATTAAACCAATGACACTTCATCACTAGCCATATGATATATAAGCTGCACAACCTGATCCTCAACTTATCAAATGTGTTAAAGGCCCCTAAACCACTCAAAGATGAGAAATTCGTTTTTTTTCTGGCCTTGACTATTCTTCCTACAGGTGTCACCTCCCTGCCAATCATTTTTTTTTATAAAACCCGTGCAGGATGTGAGCCCTAAGCTTATCAGGATGTTTGGAGTTTCCAGCTACACGCTTATCTCCGCTTGCACTGCCGAAAATGCGCATAACAAAGTGAGATCGGTCGGATTGCGAGACAAGGCAGATTGCATTGGAAAGCAGGGTAGAAGAGAATTTACCATGGACATCCCTCGTACATGAACCGATTGAGGTCTTACTTTCTTGTGACAGCACGCGAGCAGATTGCTGGTGTCCTGAATTGTGCCAAAAAGGCGGCAAATGCCGAGAGAATAATACATGCTCTTATTTTTTTGCATCAGTGGTTGTTAAGGGGCCGTTTTAAGAATTGCAGCTTGTCAAGGCAGCCCGATAATAGGAAAGGAGTTCACATCTGGCTTTCTAAAAAGGCAGTAGCAATCATGTGCTCTCGCCACTCGGTATCAGCCAGATAACCTCTGCTGCATATCAGCAGGATACCACACTCAAGGCCTCCAGAATCAGTGCGTTTGCGATAAAGGCAGGATTTGACACATTTCCAAATCTAGATTAATTCGTAATACGCTCCACGCAGTCTACACGGCAGCATTTAGATACGCGAAAGCGAAGTCTAGGCTGAGGATAGCACCAGGTGTGACGCAATTATTATACATACACAATGAAGAACACCTGACTGTCGGGCTAGTCAATTTAAATGAGCATGAACAATTTGAACAAGGATGAAGCCAAAGACGAGGACAATGGTTCCTCGAGTATTCTTCCAATATAAATGCACCCATTTTTTTTTTTTTCGTTAGCATTCTTGAGCTACACCTATAACACTTGTTTTGTTATCTGGGTCAAAATGGAAATAACAGGTGTTCCCATTTTCGTTGATTTGAAACTTCAATTGCAAAATCATTCAATGCGATTCAGCTGTGCACCCCCATTGTTCAATGTGCAAATCATTCGATGCAGTTCAGCTGTGTACCTACATTGTTTTATTACACCAGAAAAAAATAAGCACTAATTTGTAAGCATTATCCAGTCAGTCAGTCAACCATAGCCGATGCTGGTAAAATGATAGCAGGAGTAATTGATTGATTTGTGGGGTTTAACGTCCCAAAACCACCATATGATTATGAGTGACGCCGTAGTGGAGGGCTCCGGAAATTTCGACCACTTGGGGTTCTTCAACGTGCACCCAAATCTGAGCACACGGGCTTACAACATTTCCACCTCGATCGGAAATGCAGCCGCCGCAGCCGGGGTTTGAACCCGCGACCTGCGGGTCAGCAGCCGAGTACCTTAGCCACTAGACCACCGCGGCGGGGCTGATAGCGGGAGTAGTAGACTTTAAACTATGCACTTATTTCCCGAGAATAATTGACGTAGTGTATTTATTCCATCCGGACTATAGTTTTCGATGACACTTTTATGTCTCTTTTATATAACTTGCCATCTCTTTTCCCCAAGATTCGTGCAAAGAAAGTTTCTGCAACGCTGTGCTTTCACCCCATAATTTATGAAATGAATAGTATTGCGAGGGCCATCACTAACTCAACATCTGCCTTATTCTTAACTTTCGTAATGGCGGTATTTTAAGCCAATTAAGGAGGCCGTGGCAGCCCCCCTCGGCCAATGAGAGTTGACCAATGGCGGATTCAGAATAACACCTGCTGCATAAAGAGTTTGGAAACAAAAACCCGGTTGTCAGATGGATGACATCCCAGTGCAATTAATCGATGACGTTTTAGAAAGAAACAAAAAAAAAACTGCGCTTTCATATTTTAAACCATTCACAAACGTCATGCTGACGTGACGCGAACAAGAAATAATTGGCACGCTTATTCTCCATATGTGAATGTGATGCGCTGCGTTTTTCGCTTTGAAGGACGGGGTGCGATGCTTTTACACTTTTACCACCCACTGTGATTTTACGTACCCAGGTGGTCGAAATTTCCGGAGCCCTCCACTACGGCGTCTCTCATAATCATATGGTGATTTTGGGACGTTTTTCAACCCCACATATCAATCAATCATGTTATTTTACGTACGTCACAGTGCTGGAAGTTGATTAGTTTCTTATCGCTCTTTCTCGTGTTCCGTTATTGTAGAGCGGAATGCGCGGCACCTGCGGCATGCACGCAGAATCGAACCCACGACTTTCTAAAAGCTCGATCAGCCGCTTAGTGGTAAACGAACTCGGCGAAATATACAGCGAGACTTCACAGTTCATCGTGCAGTACGTTTGGTGCTTTGTTTCGACGCGACTTTGTTTCTTTTTCCGAACACTTCGTTCCGTGCGACATCTAAACATTTGATATTCTCGACCGTCATAGATGACGTCAGCACTAGCTGCGTTCTTGCGTGTGCGCAAAGAGCGCGTAGCACTTTTTTTTTTTTTTCTCTGCTTTCGGAAAACACTCGGGGCACAATCCGTAGCGGTGAACTTCAAAGCAGACCAACATCACAGTTGGTGACGTTTTGCTTCGACGTCTCTACAACGCTTTGTTTATTCGTTATATAGATTTTTTTTTTTCCTTCTGGGGCACGTATAGGGGCTATAACCACGCAATCATCCACGAGTCCTCGATCCTTAGACAACTCAAAAGCATAAAAACATCGCCAGACGGTGCTATGACGCTATCGCAATTTCCGTCACAAGTAAAAACCGGATATATATATATATATATATATATATATATATATATATATATATATATATATATATATATATATATATATATATATATATATATATATATATATATATATATATATATATATATATATATACATACTCGTACTGAGGTGCATAGGAAGCAAACATGCAACCAGAGAAAGACCCTCGAGCAAAAACTTCAAGACAGTGCGAAAACACTATCGCAATTTCCCGTCACGAACAAGAAGAGGGGGGTCCCTGATAAACGCTGCACAAACGAAAAATATTAGGCACTACGACCACCGTGCAAGCGATTGTGAGATAAGCTGCCACGCGACTACAGCCGACCCGCTCAAAGCAAAGAAATAACAAACGCGCCACCTTTTATCACCAAGGGCGCAGCTACGGACAGCTGTAGGGAAGGAATCGACGAAAACAGTGACGTCATGATTACGTCACAGACGACTCGCCGTCGACCTGACCTTGAATCGAAGCCAAAGCCCTCCCTCGCTCGCCGGGAAACGCGTGCGGCAGAAGTGCAAAAAAATAAAAATAAAGAAAACCTACAATGTCGGTCTCGTGCGGTGCTGGGCTGAGCGAACCACTGCAAAGGGTTCCTACAATAGTTTTGGGCGCCTTCCCAAGCTGTTGGGTTTAAGAAGCTGCCGCGGTCTGTTTCGCCGCAGAAGACGCGGCCAAAAATTTGATAGACTTATGGAACAATGCCGTGTAACTACGGTACGAAGTAGTACTTCCTGCTTAGGCAAGATTAAATCAAGCTAGCGGCAGTCGGTCTAAGTCATGCGACTGCGATCGCGGATGCTGCTCATTATAACGGTATTGTAACAGCCACCTGCGGACGCTACTGAAGCTGGTTATGCGGCAGATCAAATGAAAAAAAAAAAGATACGATACATCAACCTGTTTAATTCCCGTTCTATAAGCAAGGATATGGACATGTCAGGCAGACGGTTCTTTTGAAAACCCACTGTTTCTAGCAGACGACAGCAACTGCAGGCATATGTATCGATCGTCTGCAAGCGCAAGGCCGCTGCGTATGGATTGCTGCGAGAAAACCCTCGCAGGCTGCTGCAAACTTGTCACTGCAGTCACAGCGATTGCGTTGCGAATGCAAGGGACAATCAATCAATCAATGACGTAGCCGCACTGGCCATACTCAAAAAGAGCGTCAGTCAGCTTCAGGACCAAACGCGGAAGTTCCGTGTTGCAGACGACGACGCTACGCCACAGATGTGTTGGCTTGCTTAGATTGGCGTCACATGTCACGAGGTTGTGGCAGACGAAAGCAAGTTCACTCGTTTGTGGTATACCGAAAGAACTTCGTAACACTTCGTCTGGATCGCCGCCAAGAGAATAGTGGAAAGGATGACGCAATCAGTGCGGAGAAGCTACAGCCAGGGATAGATAGGGGTGATGCTTGGCAGGCAGCAACGAGGCTCGCTATTTGCTAAGTCGCGAGGTCTGTGGCACTTCGGGGAAGTTATTTTCAAAACCTATCCCCCCTCCCACACGTCTCCTCTCTTTCGGTCGCACCTATTTTTCTTCTGTTCCTTGTGCGACCAACAGCACGCAGCCCAACGCTCTCTCTCTCTCTTCCACGAAATCACATCGTCACCACCGCTATTTTTTGATGCCGCTATAAACCTGTTTGTCAACTAAAAGGACGCTCACTTCTTTCGCTATTGCTGTAGTTTGGCTACGTTATCCGCGCGAAAACGTAAACAAGAGCTGCCAAGAACAGCATGGAAACTCACTGCGCGCGGAGTTTGCGAATGAATGGAGAGACACAAAACGGTGTCATAGAGCGCGGTGCCCTTCGGTCAGAACGATTCTCTCGGACAGAATTCCCAAACCTAACCAGCACAAGGTCTTACGCTTGTGCAACGTTCACTTAATGCATTGGTCCTTGCGACGCGGGCAGTCAGTGCGTGCTGCGCGCAATACGAATGGTGCGTGTCTGTCTTTGCGATGATTACAGGCAACAAGCGGATACATTTTTTTTTTTTTTTCCTCACCGGTGGCTAGCTCGAGGGAAGAACCTGTCAAAACCAGTTCAGGCTGGAACCACTGTGATAGCCCTCTATCGCCGGTTGCGGCGAGAATGGGAAAACGCGGCGCGCTACCTGCCCAAATATCCTCACATGAACGTCGACGATAGGGAGCTAGGTTAGGTTTGAATCGAGTTGGGGAAAGGAAGCAAAAACGAAGAAAAGAGCGTGGCGAGCGGATCTTCACGGAGTACTTGGACAAAGCTTCCTCGTGATTTTTCAGAGCTACACGGAGCAGACGATGCTGTGAATTAGGCATGTTCGTGAACGGGGATACCGAAAACGGTTCGCACTGTGCGCGTTTCAGGGGCGAAAGGAATCGGTAAAGGTGAGCCGCGACTTACCGGCCAGTCGGATCTTGAGCAGGTCTAGCGGATGCAGCACGAGGGTGGAAGTGACACCGCCAGAAATGCCGGCTATGAGATGTTCGTAGCGTACCTGGGGCAACACGAGGCTCATGGAAGTGCGCCAGCGTCGGTCGTGGCTAGCCGCTGTCGATTCCTTCATGGTCGAAGCAGTGGGTTTGTGGGACGTCAAATGAGCAAAAACCCCGACGTTGTACTTGTAAAAGTATTGCGATAGAAGACTTGTCGATGGGTCAGCTCGGTCCGCAGGGTTTGGTCAGAGTAAAGCAACGCCGCATAGTGCGGTACGGTCGCCGAATACCAGCGCCGTACGAGAACGATCGACAAACGAAGAGCGCTTCGAATGAATGGACGAACTCTTGTTTCGTGTGCGCCACCACACGCGATTCCCACGAAGCACGCTCCGTACGGAGAAATTGTTCCCTTCTTTTTGCGGCGCCCTCACTCGTTTTCACGCGAATGAATGCCCTACACCTGTGTTCCCAGTGGCGTACTAGGCTTGTCCTGACAAATGTGCCGTCGTGCAAAGTTTGAACACTAGTAGCGCTAGTGACGTGTTGCTATAAATGCATCGTTTATTTGACTGTTTGAACCACATTGGACGTAACAAACGCAAACAACGTTTAATTTGTTTGTCCACGCACACTTGCTCCTTAGTATATTTTAAAATTAAGTATTACATTTTTTTTAAAACAATAGATGTTCAATATGTGCCAATTTATATGACGTAATAGTTACAAACGTTAAGTTAGTCCTCACTGTCACCACGTACTCGATTTGCTTTAAAATCAATATTATACTTACACTTCACATAAATTGACGTTCAAACTAACGCCCTAAATGGCTGTTATTTTTTCACTATTATTTCTGAATATAAAGTAAGAAATTTCAAAGGCTATGCTTTTGAGCCCTTGAAGCGTAAACTCATAACTAAATATTCTGACGTCATAAATACTTTGTTGTAAACTGTTTCAAACATCAATAACTTACTTTAAAACAACGTCATAAAAATAATATTACATAATTATTAGAATAGTTTGTCTTGTATGATTTTAAATGTATTCATTGAAAGTATTGCTAATCCAAAAGTACTGACTACTAGCGCTCTCTTAATGGACGTCAAGCTTATTGAACGTTCGCCGAGTCCTTTATACCGTCTCCATCTCACGTGGTGGCACGCGTTGGTAAGCGATTGCGACGGAATTTGTCGTATTTACGCGTACTTTTTCGAAACTCTACGCTCGTGCCCTGTCGAAATCCTTGTTTTGTTAGCGCAGCTTGTCATAACGGTGTCCGCAACAGCTCTTCGTGCAGACAGTGCCCGCTGATGCTCAGCAAACCATATGCAGTCGTCTGCGCGCCGGCTTGGGTCAATAACATTGTGATCTGATCTCTTTACCCGAATTGCTTCCAAATACGCTGCTTTCGAAGCCGTATGACGCGGTTGCCTATCGTTCTTTCATATTAGTGAGTAAATATTTTTTCTGGAGATATGAATCGGTGACAGGATCGTCGGTTTCGGAAAGCGTGTCAATGACTTGCGCAGCGTTGCAATCTCTCCTGTCCGTTTTGCGGGCCCCCGTGTCATTGTATCCGTGATTTTTTTGCGTCGCGCAGATTCAGCATGCCCGATACGACGGCAGAACCGGCAAAGATGGCCGACGACGGCTTCAAGATCGTCCAGAGAAAAGCCAACCGAAAGCGCAAGATGGCAGTCGACGAGGACGAGGATGCCAAAAAAGGACGGCCCCTTTACCCTCCCGCCAAGCAGGAGAAACTGGTGCGGTGTGCTTAAATATAGGCCCCCTCTTTCTTTACCCCATTGTGTCGTTCCCCCCACGCACAAGCGCGCGCACACGGGAAATTGTGTCGACATTTGGGGAAGTGTTTACGTTGTGAAAAGTGCTGCCGGATTCGAGGCCTGCTTTTTTTTTCTCGAAGCGTTCCCGTAGCCTCCCTGTTGAGCAGTCAGCCGTGCTGTGTACTGTTCGACGGGCGGACCGAAGCTGTTGTGTTTGGTGTGTTTGTTAATGGCTTTTGTAAGTGCGGATGATTTGAAATGTTGCCAGACTCCAGCCTTGCTTTTTTTGAAAAACTTCTCTATTCACAAGATAGTTGTATTATAGTTCGATTTCTAGGACGAAAAGGTTTGTGTACTTGCTGGTGTTTATTTTTTTATCATTTTGGAGTTGCTGAGCATGAGACTGCGACAGTAGAGCAAAACTTGAAAATTGTAGAGGGAAAAAACAAACAGAAATGACGTACACAGCATTTCAGATTATTAATGACATTAAATGAAACATGTTATCTGGACTCGAAATGACAAAAATCTTGGTTTATCGTCATCTATAGAAAGGGGGCGTGGCACTATGTCATTACAAAAACTTATTCTGTCAGTTTTATTTGAGATGACAGTTCGTGGAAATCATAGGACAGTATAATCGAATGCATGTTGCTACGTTTATTAGCTGCACCTATCGCACACACAAACCTGACACTCAAAAGAAAAGTGTGATTATGTCCCTGCCAGGTGGATGTCATTTGTTGATTTTTTTACTGCCGTTAAGATTTGTTGTTGCATTTTGTTTGCCGTAACTTCCTTTGAGTGTTCCTGGCGTACATCGGTGGCTGCAGAGCATGACAGGGTGTCCTCAGCGTGTAATGTGCAGTGTATCGGGTCAGCAAGTGATAGGTGGCAGCATTGCAGAAGGTTGACAGCCTGCTTTCACGCTCCTTCAATGTTACTGCATTTATTCATTTCTTAAAAGCATTTTTCAACTATAGCAGTAGAGATGGCAGGTATCATGTGTCTAGGGCAAGAGCTCATACAACTTATGACTGACAATAGACCTTTGCAAAAACACCTCCCTGGGCGCCGCCATAGTCCTCTTTGGGCTGCGGAAATTGGCGTGACCCCTCAAAATTACACTGAACAAGGCTGCGCCCTTGGCCTTTGTTTTTCCGCTCACAGCCCATCATAGCGGTGTTTTTTTCCCTCCTGTGAAAAGGTGTATACGTTGTGTCTGCAACTGTAAAAAAAAAGTCTCACAATAGTCATGGATCATCGTAAGCTGGCTGCTGTGTTTGATTGGCCATTATTATCATGCAGGAAGGCAAGACAGAGATTCGGAAGATACCCATACCTGCACACAGGCGGAGACCACTGCATGATAACTGGGGGAAGATCCTCACGCCCATCGTGGAGCACCTTTACCTGCAGATACGGTGGAAAAAAGACACCCACTGCGTTGAAATTCGGGTGAGCCGGGCAGTTTGCTACCGTTGCCTTGAAATCTCGGCACAGCAGTTAAACATGCAGTAAAGGAGTGTCACGCATGGTTAAAAAACAGTTAACGTCGTTGGTGCAAAGTACTTATGTCCAACATCCCAGCACTTTGGAACTCTTGACCCGCCCCGCCGCAGTGGTCTAGTGGCTAAGGTACTCGGCTGCTAACCCGCAGGTCGCGGGATTGAATCCCGGCTGCGGCGGCTGCATTTCCGATGGAGGCGGAAATGTTGTAGGCCCGTGTGCTCAGATTTGGCCCCACGTTAAAGAACTCCAGGTGGTCGAAATTTCCGGAGCCCTCCACTACGGCGTCTCTCATAATCATATGGTGGTTTTGAGACGTTAAACCCGACATACTATCATAGAACTCTTGACCCAGTCGTGTTGAAAGACTTGCATGCGAACGCGCACAGAGAAAAGTCGAGACAAGCTCCGATTTTGACTTCTCTTTCACGTTAGCGTTTACAAGCCTAGTCTTTCGACATAAATACGTACTGCCTAGCTCAGCCATCTGTTATACTAAGCTTTGACTTAGTGTAATGCATAGAAGTTTCTGGCCATTATGACTTGTAAAAGGCTGTGCGGTGCTGGCCTTCTTCATGGCTGCCATTTTTCCCACAGTGGTGCTACTGCCCAACAAGTCGTGAGACGTTATCTGGCACTCTAAAGTTTGGTGTGCATTAGTTCGATTAAAAAAAAATGGCGTGTTGTCAATAAGGTTGTTCAAATGATCTGGCAGGTCCATCAGAAGAGTTTGACGACTACGAGTGAATGCTCTGGCTTTGGTTTGTGTCGGACTGCGAAGCCAGTAATGGCCACACAACTTTCTCACTCAAATTTCAACTGATGATTGGAGATGCCTTTGAATCTATATTTGTTCACTTCAAATATTTTGAAAATTCCACATGCCAATATTAAAACCTAAGTGAATGTCAAAAAGCATGCTTCTGGTATCGCACATATCACATTGGCCGAACGTCTTAAATTACTGCCTAAGGCTGCCAAACTTTGATGGATTCAAAATGTAAAAGTGCTTGTGCGTGCAGATAATTCCAGTAATTTCACTCATTGTTCTCCAATTTTTTTTGGCCATTGTACAGGAATATATTGTTTTATGACAGAATCCGTAAAACTTACTTTTCTGCCATGTCTTGCCTTTCTTTCTCTCTCTCTTTTTGTCTCCTCATATTAACACAGGAGTGCTTGATTTGCTGTTAGATGCCGTCTTTAATTTCCAGACACATACTGCTTTGTTTTCTGTCGTTTTTACTCACTGCTGCGACGCTACAAATATGTTATGTGGGGTCTAACGTCCCAAAACCACCGCATAATTATGAGAGAGATGCTGTAGTGGAGGGCTCCAAAAATTTCTGCCACCTGGGGTTCTTTAACGTGGGCCCAAATCTGAGCACACACGCCTACAGCATTTTCGCCTCCACCGAAAAGGCAGGCGCCGCAGCTGGGACTCGATGCCACGACCTGCGGGTCAGCAGCCGAGTACATTAGCCACTAGACCACCGCGGCGGGGCTATAAGTATGTGACCAAGTTGCATAACTTGCCAATCGCCTATTTACAGCAAAAGTGCTCACTTACAATGTTGGTGTTTATCTTTGCAGACCTGCAAGGAAACCAAAGAGCCTAGTGCACTTCAAAAGGCTGCCGATTTCGTGCGGGCGTTTGCCATGGGCTTTGACGTTGACGTAAGTCGCATGCCTCTTTCTCTCTCATGCACGCACGTGCATACACACACACACATATTAGAACTTCGTAAAGTGCAATTTAATAACAAAAAAAAGGTAGTATCCAGGTCTTATTACCTAAATTCCTGCGCAGTACAAAAGGTAGATCAAGTTAAGTGTCTCGGCGTAACATTCACGGCAACACTAGATTGGACCAGTCACATAGATCAAATCACAGCCAAGGCTTCGCGCTTAATTCATTTTTTCCAAAGAAATTTCAGCGACGCGCCGCAAACACTCAAGGAAACCCTGTATATTACAAATGTGCGCCCAATTTTAGAGTATGCTTGTGTTTCTTGGGACCCTTTCACGAATGTACTGAAAGAAAAGTTGGAGAGGGTGCAAAAAAGGGCTGCTAGGTTTGTTACAGGAAACTACGATTTTAGAATAAGGTCTTCTGGAATTCTTCAGGCCTTGGGATGGGAACCCCTTTGTGGACGACGGAAAGTTCAAAGACTTAAATTTCTCTATAATATATATCACGGTAAGACTGGGCTAGATAAAGAGCGGTATTTAAAGATGCCTAGTTATATGTCCGAACGGAAAGATCACTTATATAAAATTAGAGAATATACCTGTCGATTGAATGTCCTTAAATACTCTCTTTCCAAATTCTATTAGTGACTGGAATGCGCTAAAAATACCAATATTCTCTGATTCTAATTTCCTAACAGCCATTGAAACAGCATTTTGAGCTGCTGAGATAACCCATATATTTAACGTTGGCTTTGTACTTCTCTTGGTTGTTGATTTTTTATATGTATAATTACTGCTTTCGTTGTATAATCCTGTGTTTTGTACTTTTGTTCTAATGCTGTACTACAAGTGTTGATTTCTCCTGTATACTGTAATGCACGACTTATTTGCTTTTAATTTTGCTGTTTTGTATTCTATTTTCTACTGTAACCCCCCTACAACAATGCCCAATGGGCGATGTAGGTACTTGTAATAAATAAATAAATAAAAAGTCTATGCGGGCAAGCAAAAGTTTGGTTATGTTATTCTTTCATGTTCAAAGATCAATTCTGGATAGTACGAGTTGTAACTAGTCTACTAAAATTGTTGTCTGGGACTTAAAGTGTGGCAGCGAACACTTGGAGTGCTTACCAAGCGTGGGTTGTCCAAAATGGTACCTATTGCATGCAACCAGTGGTTTCGCTAGATATATAATAGGGCTAGTAGCATCTAAATTCATTAGGTGTGTGTAGGATAGAAAACTTGGGTCAGCAATAGTACAGTGGATACCAAAGAAACGGTGGTCCCCTTCTTGTGGAGGGAATGCAGCGTTGGCATGCACAATTGCTGTTGCTACATGCTTTGCTCTGTGCCACGGAATATAACTGCATGCGTGTGTAGCGGTTCTGTCTGTGTAGCTCGGCCTCTGTGGCACTATTTTGGAGCATCTTTATTGTTTGGGTCTCTCATTGAGTCGCTCGATTTGTACTCGAGCATAGCGACCGTAAGTGGTTAGAAGAAACTAAAGTGCACGACAAAGGCAGTTGCCGCCACGTCTAGGAGGGAACAGTTTAGCTCTTTGTGCAACACGCAGCAAATCGCACCGGCGAAACGTTGCGTTTCACTGCTCGTCAAGCTGTTAAAAGTGGCACAAAGTTAGTCTCGGGTTGCTGCCAGGGTCTCCTGACCCGGATCTAGCACGTGATGGAAGTTTCCCCAGTGAGCAATGCGAGTCTGCTTGGGAAGCACAGAAAGTAGTGTTGTGTCACATGGTTTCTTTAACCTCTGTCTTTTGTCTCTCTTTTATGTAGGCATTTATCGATTCTTTTGTTGCATATGCTCAACTACCTGTCTGGTTGAAAGCACTATTTCTGGTGACGCTTTTTTTTTTTTTTCTTCTTTGGCAGGATGCCCTGGCTCTGGTTCGTCTAGATGAGCTCTTTCTCGAGTCGTTTGACATAGAAGATGGTGAGAGTTGTTCTGCAAGCTGTTTTTTCTCCTTGATTTTGCTTTTTTTTTTTCTTGAAATCTTCTTTTGGCTGAAAGGTCTGCAGTTGTGTGTATGGTAATCTTTCAGTTAGGTGCATGCGGTCATCACATGCAAATAATATAGCCAGTGTGATTCAGCTTATGTTCGACTGTAGCAATTGTCATCTAAAGTTTCCAAATATATTTAGAGAGAATTCAAGACCTGTTGTGGTGGCTTAGGGTGAACCCACGGAGGGTAGAGACGATGGCCAACGAGTGCTCGTTCATGTGCTGTGCAGTGAAGACCCTCAAGGGGGATCACATGGCCAGGTGCATCGGGCGACTGGCGGGAAAGGGTGGCCGGACCAAGTTCACCATTGAGAACGTCACCAAGACTCGTATCGTCCTCGCTGACAGGTGAGCCTCCGCGATTTAGCACTTTCTGCACCAGTTGAAGTAGATAGCACAGCGTAACTTATCAGGCTTGATTCCTGGCACTTGTGTCTGCATGTCGCTGCAGGCATAACGTAACAGTGCCTTTGCGCAATGTTCCAGATGCAACTGCTGTGGCTTAGGTGGTTACCTAATATTGACCTTCAAATTTTCTGTTTGACTGTAGGCGTGGCATCTCGTCCCTGTACCTCAATTATAGTGCTAAGCACCATCAGATTAAATTATCTCGTGCTTGTCCAGGATTTCCTTAGATAATGAGAGCCTGTTTTGAATGCCTCCCTTTGTGCATGAAGAGAGGAGTTGCGAAAGTTATAATATGTACCGGCCACCAAGCGTCATCCTGCTGTGTTTGATTGCATCTCATCAGATTATACCTGCTTTTTATAGCATCAGTAAAAGAACTGCGGGCACTATTTAGCGGTGATGTACTTGCTTTGTCATTGAGTATTGATGCATCTGAAGTGATATGGCCAGTTTTGCACCACACTTTTTCAGAGAAGACAACAGTGCGGTGCCTGCTCATTTTTTGACATTACATAGTGTATACAAAACTGGCATTCATTGTTTATTGGAGGAATTTTATGGCAGTACAACTTTTAAATAGAAATTTCAAGCAATCTTCTCTCAGAGTGCAAGTTTTTTGTTTAACCAACCAAATTTGGCCCTGTTTATGCTGTAGTACATATCCATGTATTGGCCCTTTAATACCAGGTGTTTCCTCCAGCCTTCGTGCGTTTTGTGTGTGTCGGTAAATGTGTTATCTTACATTATTGCAGAAAAGTACACATCCTTGGTTCCTACCAGAACATCAGGGCTGCACGGACGGCTATTTGCAATTTGGTCCTTGGTAAGTGAAATGATTATCTGCTCATGTAATGATGCATTTCAGAACTAGCGCTGAATGCCGTAACTCGCATGCGAAAGTTTGTACAATTATGTGCTAGGTTCAACGCTCACAATGTTTAAGCCATGTGCTTTGTGAAAGTACTCCAGTTATCAGGCTGCTACTTTTTTTGATGCCCCCCTAAGAAGCTCGGCATTTCCGAGAGTAGACCCGGCGATCACGTTTTTCGAATATTACAGGGTCACACAGACCCTTCATTTCAAAAATCAATTCCCGCGCTCCATTTGCACGCTTTGACAATCCTCCTTTCACGCGCAGTGGCGCAGTCTTCAATCGGTGACTTGATGTAGCACGCAGCTCATCGATTGGTCTAAACAAGTCATGACGACGAGCTATGCCTTCTGCTCTCTGTGAGGCAGAAAGGTGGCGAGGCCGCGCAGAAATTTGAAACCAGTTTAAACCGATGTTCTAACCCCTGTAACTTCCTTAATATAGCACATATTCGCCAAATTCTTGCGGCAGCATGTTCACAAAGCATAAGTGCACCCATTTCTCTTTACAACAATTTTCGGACTTTGGGGTTGTTTACTGGCCCTTTAATATATTGCTGGGAGAGTTAGTACCTTGTCTGAAAATGAAAGCAGAGTGCGAAAAAATGGGACGCAAGAGACAGGAACTGCCAACTGATTTTGATATGCATCTCATGCTCACGGGCCAACGAGACGGCGAGCATGAGTTGGTGTTCACAAATTACAAGGGAGCGCATCTTCCGGCGCACTGTACAGTGTGTGGTTCTGCGCCTTTGTTTGCCGGATTGAAGATTCTGGGACGCCATAGAGAAGCGGTTGCTTGCGAGCTGTCAGAGGCATTAATCGAAATGAATGGCGCAGAGATTGCGCCAGCCAGATGTCAGTGTGTTTGCGGGAATGTGAGTTTCAATTGCTCTGCGGCAATATGCTGCAGATTTTGGGGTGATTAGCTTCGCTTGTGACGTACACTCTTCGCTTGTGACGTACACTGTTCAGTAAAAGTAGTTGGTAGAGTGCCCGTATCGTCTTCTTGTGTCCTGTGTTTTTGAGCATAACTTTTATTTTGAGACAAAAGTACCTTTGCTGACAAAAGTGCCTTTGTTGTAAACATGAATGCTGATATGGTGGAGGAAAAAAGATGGCCTGTTGTGTCTCTGTGACGGAAATGGTGTTACTATGCCTGTAGGTAGTGTATTGTGCGCGGGCGCAACAATAAATTGCAGTGCCAGCAGACAGCCATGCAGTTGGTGTAATTGCATGCAGTTTGTTGTCCCTCTGATCGCAGTCAGACATTGATATTGCTATCATGCTTACACGAATAGAGTAAAGTTCAATTGTAATGCAGGTGATTTAAGGAACTATATATTTACAATGTAGTTTGAATTTGATACAAGGTGTGTTCTTGCACTGTTGATTTCATAAATGTGGTGCTGTTGTGGTCTTATATTAATGCAAGCTTGCAAGTGTATTTTGGGCATTCTTTCGTTCTGCTCAGCAGTGCAAAACATTACCATATTTACTCGATTCTACCGCGCCCTCGATTGTAATGCGCACCCGATTTTCACCGCGAAAAAAAAAAAAAACGTAAGACATCGATTGCAACGCACACCCATTTTTCTCGCTGGCCCGCACGATCACACCACTCGAAAAAACGACTCCTTTCGGGAGCGTCTTTCATTTAAATATGAGGTACGGGCGAAGCTTGTGCCCATCTGACGTGTAACAGAGCATTGCCGTCACTGTAGTTTTACCGTGGACCGATGTCAGCACGCGAACTTGCTTCACCCCCTTCTTCTCGGCGGTTGTGGGGCCGGGCATGTCGAAGCAAAGAGGCGTCTGATCGGCATTCCCGATTTGCCCAAGCAGGTAGCCGTTGTTGCGCTGCAAGTTTAGGACGAACCTCTGAAAACAGTGAAGCTTTTCATCGTACTCCTCCGCAAAACGTTTCGCATATGTATGTTCCCCTTCGGAGGGAAAAGCCTTTCCTCTTCATAAAGTTAGTTAGCCAGCACCTGCTCGCTTTAAACTGGCTCCGCATTAGACCTTTTTCTAAGACTAATTGCATAGCCCGCACTTGGAGCAGTTCTGTCGTCACGGGCCGCTGTGCCGCTCGCTGCTCAAGCACATACTCGCCGAGCAGCTCTTTAATTTGCGGAAACCGACCCTGCTGTGGCCCACTGAAGCCTTTGCGTGAAGCTTTGCTGTCGACAATCTTCTGCTTTTGTTTCCGCCGGTCCCACACGCACGTTTCGGGAACTCCGAACGACCGCGATGCGGCCCGATTTCCGTCCGTTTCCGCACACGCGATGACTTTTTTTTAAAAGCGGCATCGTGGTGCACTCGAGTTTTTGGAGTCGGCCCTTCCACGCCGTCGATGCTAATGCACTACTAGATGACGAACTCCTCAGCACACGTACGAAGTGCCGCACATGGGAAACACATAGGCAGAAATGGCCGACGCACGTAGGGGGCGGCCATTTTGGATTTGCCGATGGCAATAGATTGACCGTAATTTTTTTGTTCGTACTCGATTCTAACGCGCATGCAGTTTATGAACTCACTTAACCGGAAAAAAGGTGCGCGTTAGATTCGAGTAATTACGGTAGTTTACGGTAAATAGAGTAAGCCACTTTTATAAGAGACACTGACGTAACAGAAAATTGGGTATATGCCCACGTTGAAATAGGCATTGATCAGAAAATGGAAACATAGTACCCTGCTTATAACAAATATCTAATGTAAAAGACAAGGAATGATCCCGGGTGCATGTTTCTTATAAAAGGGCTGAACTGTACATGTGAGCACCTTACATATCAGGAATTGATGTTTTGTGTTGGCAGAACAGTTGCCAAAAGTTCTGTTTCGTTCTTTTTTTTCTTACGCAGGTAAACCACCATCGAAGGTCTATGGAACAATGCGGCAGCTGGCAAACCGTATAGGAGAAAGATTCTAATTTATTTATTTGAAGTTGTGGAACAGAACTAGGTACCTAAAAGAAGCTAGTCCCAAGATCTGCTACCACCACACCAGCAGCAAGCGGAATCTCTCTTCCCCCATTTCAGCATTAGAAATGGCAACTGCTGGGAGAGGAGACTCTTCAGATTAAAATGTGTGAAATGGTGTTTCACATTTGGGCTCCACTCTCTCTTACTGTACGGCCGATGGTAGAAAACAGCCACTGACGACGTCTTCCAGGCCACACAGCCATGCTCGCTACTCTAACAGTGAAACAATGAACCAACTCTCTCATTTGGTGAGAAGACGCATCCTGCAGATGGTGGACACTATGAGCAGTTAAGCCAAACCTCACAATCGTGCGTGGCAAAAATAGTTAATGGGTGCAACACAGAGTTGCCATTTTCTCATGTGCCTTCTTTTTCGTACAGAGGCCTGTGCTCGCTCTCTTCCAAGTGACGGTGCCTGCTGCTTGGCGTCGATTAGCGGATAACATGCTATTGGCAGATACGGAACGTAAAGAGCGGCGTTCAGATGCACTTTTTTGCCATGTGGCAGTGGCACACTCCATAGCCTGCTAACGTCACACTGACATAGCAATCGCAATAGACTCTTTTTGTAAATGTAAATCTAGCTTTCCTGTTATGGAGTTTTCCCTACTAATGGCGGCTAGTCACTTTTTGTAAACAGACTTTTTAAGTGCAGTTTACTTGCGCTATGACATGGAAAATTTAGGTTTAGCTATCTTGACATTAATGCATGTAATAGACGAGCCTCGGCGTGTTTAACTAGGACCTGGTTTTCCTTTCAAGTAGGACAGGTACCGCCATATGGAAAATATGCAGTGCAGGGAAGCGCCCTTGCAAATTATGAAAAGAGTACAGGAGAGAGCAATCGTGCTTGAGGTCATGATGCAAGCTTACATAACTTTCCCTCGTGTAGCTTCCAGTGCACTTCATTCGCAGGCGATAAGCTCCAAAAGTGAGATCACTTGGCGATTTCTTGAAAAAGCGGTTTAGGAGTCCTTTAGGAAACTTTTTGTTGACATTCTACACATAATAAAGCGTCAGTTGAACATGCCCTAGACACAAATTCGTCTCAGACGCTCTTACATGAGGTGTTATCTTGAGGTAGAGTTGACATAGTCAAGCTGTGGCTTCAATGCACACCTCTGAATATAGAAAAGAATGTCTGAGATTGTTACTTTAATTCATAAGATATGTGGTAGCTCTTGTGAATTTAGTCATGAAAGGCACGATTCTCCAACCTGGGCTTTGAATGCACCAATAGACGACCACTTGGGAACTCTGGGTGAGGGGCTCCACCCGAAGTAAATAGAGAGCCTTATTGTGTTTATTAAGGTTTCTTTTTTTCTCCGTGGGTTTGTTGACCTTTTAAATGAAGGCTAAGTCTCCGTGTTACATGCTGAGCACGGGTGCATACATTTCATCTCCAAGTCTGGCCTACGGCGGCACCATGGCGGCACGCTGTTTGAATTTCATTCGCATTCATTCGCTATTCTTTTAACCTTCTATTCTTTCACTACACTTGATGGTCCCAATAGTTTTTTTTTTTTTTGCTTCATGATGTCCCCATTGTAATAAATGGGTGGCGGGGGGCTCGATATAACTTTTCGTGCGTATTACTTGAGCACATTTATTCGGTTTAACGTTCAATACAACTCAGTGGCACAACGGGCCCATGCCTCTCTTCCCAACAACACACACACACCGTCCTATTCTTTTTTTTTTTTTTTGCCATCGCATACAGGGGCAAAATGAAACTTCGCCTGCCCGGTTCTCACTTGAAATCAAGGTGGTGTCCCATCACTCAAAAAAAAAATGAAAATTGGGTAGCAGGGGTCTGCCAAGACCCCTGCTACCCTGCTGCAACTACGACAACTGAACAGCACTGAACCCTTCAGAATCTTGCAGCCAGAACACTGGAACCAAAGAACACTTACCTGGTCAGCAGGCGTATTACGTGGTGTCCCACCTAAGCCCGAAGCCGGCATTACGGATTATTTATGGTAATAGTAAAGTGTTATCAGTGTACCTTTGAGGTTTCCTGTAGGTGATTTAGAAAATGCCGCTAAAAATGCTTGTCTCGAGCGATTATTGGAACGGTTGCGCCATCTGTCGCGTGAAAGTGAAGTTAGCAAGGGCGGGAAGTTGCCATGAGCTCAAAAATATAAAAACTGCTGGGGTTTTACGAAAGCTAGTGTGCACAGACCTTGTACAGAAATAAACTACAGTTTGTGGTCACGGAACTCCAACCAGTTAAGTTGTAATGAATTAGATATGTGAAGAGCAGTACCGTAGCGAGACATTTTCTGGCTAGAGGGTAGAGGGGGGGGGGGGGGGGGGGGGTCAATCATAGTTTACTTTTATTCATGTAAGATTGAAGCTTTTAAGGGGAGGGGGAGCGGCTCAACCACTCTTCCCACCATTCCTTGACTGCTTACGGTGGTCACATTAGCCACTGAATGATAAAGGTTTCAAACTAATTGATCAGTTTAATCTTACTTATTCTGCTTTTTTTTTTTTGTTTCAGAATCTCTCCAGGTAGTCTTGCGCAATTTGAAATCATGTGACATTTTCCATGAAAATAATTCAGGAGCTAGAAGAGGCAAGGGGCGACAGCGGCGCGAGGCTTCTGCACTTGTACGCCGTGATGTTATGATTTCAACGTCACCCATGTTCGAACCTGACCATGTTAAAGATTGTTTTGAATCGGACCAGAACTTAACAGGGCTTTCCGTTACTTGATCACACGCAATGTCTCCAATAGCTTAAAAAATAGTTTGATAGTGATATGCAATCACTTGCGTAGAACTAATGAACTGGCTCCGTGGTTCTGGCGCGAGGTTTAAGGGTAGAAGTTATTGAACTTGGACATTCCAGTATCCTCATTTTATTTTCTTGTGATCAGCTTATTGCCATGAAATTATCGAACATTGTTGTTAAATAATGTTTATTATAAGAGCCGAAACAGAACTTTTTTATCTATGTCTTTCCTTAAATGGTACTCAGAGACACCCCTAAACAGCCACGCTGTCCGTTCATGTCCACGTGTTAAAGAAGTGGTGCCGCGAACAGTCGTCACTCCCCTAGCCAGCTAACAAGGGTGGGGGGGGGGGGGGGATGTGCAAAGTCATCTTCGTACATTGACCTGACAGGGAGGGGGACACTGTGTGTGATTAACGTTCGTCCCCCTGTGAAGGGGACCTCTGCGGACGCCTATATGCTCACGACAGATCTGGCGCGACGTCTCCATAACTTTCGCGGCCCTTCCTATAACGCTACCAAGGAGGATACATAATACTTGCTGGAGTGGAAGGGACGCTGTGCGAGTGAAGCCAGCCGCCGCCATCTTGCCAGTGGCAAAAAGCGTGCTCAGCGCCCTCGCGAGCTGCTGATTTCGTCCGTTCTTGTTTCACCTTGTCGGCTTGTAAATACAAATTGTTTACAATGGTTGCCTCTTGCGTAATTTACGGATTTGCCAACAGGTTGAAAAAAGGTTGTGACCTCACATTCCACCTGTACGTACACGAAAACGTCTTCGACATAGCCATTCCGCGCTCGTTACTAAAGGGAGCTATAGCTGACGCGATCTAAGCGTGCAAAACATAACAGTCCGGATTTGTTTTACAGATTTACTAAAAATCCCGTAACGCGGAGCCTCTGGGAGTGGGCCGTTCGCCGTGAGAAGTAGAATGCGAAAGACGGAGATCACTTCGCTCTGTGCACTTCGCGCCAGAGTGCTTTGACCACCTCTTTGACATTGAAGGGAAGCATGTGAAATGGGGTTATGAAGTGGCATTGAAGGCACTTCAACGTGAAGAAGGGTTGTGGCTCGGAAACAAACTTACGAAAGTCCACGTCCAATGGGAAAAGCAAGAAAATGAGGGTGTGATATGCTGTACAACTGAACGAGTGCCTCAGTTGTTCTGCGAACAAAAGCTAAAGCTGCCGCAATTCAAGGGTGCCAGCTCAAGATCTACGTTTATTAGAACTTTTGATGGCTTGTACTTTTGATCTTAAACTCCAGGAACCCGCTGGCAAGGTCGTACAAAGCGCCCCGTCGGCAAGGGAATGAAGCATTCTGGAAGTCGTTTTTTTTTTTTTTTGTGGAGACTCGAACGTACATAAACGGGCTGAGAGATCCGGCAGTGACAGAAGGACTGAAAAAAATAAATTCATTGGTTTTTGGATATGCATGGCAAGCACCGAAAGAATGTTTGACAGACTTGTCAGCCAGGGTCAGCTGAAATACTTACTGACAGACAAACTCAGTCAAGACTATGCCGAAAACTTCTTTGAATCAATACGTGGATGAGGCGGCCATAACAACAACCCAACAGATTCGCAGTTTATGGCTGCATACAAGCGTCTATTGGTTCAGACGGAAGTCTCGTCTTCAAGTTCTGGACACTGTTCCCAAGATGTTCTCTCCGTATTGAATGCAACGACTCCTGCAGCCATGGTACATCCAAAAAGCAATCTCACTGACATGCGCTAGGCCCCAGTCCTGCGGCTCGATGACCACGACAATACGCATCGCATTGACTAGCCCGAAAGCTTTTCTGCTTTTGTCAATTCCGTGGTGTCATACATAGCAGGCTTCATTGTTCGAAAGGTCGAACTGCAACTACCTGTGAAGAGTGCATAGCAGCCATGCACTCAGATGAGCTGACACCTTTAATTAAATGTAAGAGGCGAGGTGGTCTTGTTTTACCGTCGCGAGATGTCATTAGCCCCTGTAAAGAAGTCGAGGACTGAGGTGGCTACAGGCTGAATGTGATTCCATCACAACGGTGAAGTCAAGAGCAAGACACCTCATCCTGAAAAATCTATGAGCTTCCTCCGAGAAAAACTGGTTCCATAAACTAGAGCAGCGCGTCCTTGACTTTGATACGCTTGATAATCAGGTTTACAGTTTGTGCAGGCAAATCGCTGAACAATACCTAAAAGTGAGGATACAACACATGACGAAAGAAAAAAAAAACCGAGAATCGGTCAAAAGTAAGGTGGGACCACTTTTGACAAGGGCAATAATTTTCAACCACCAGTAGGGCACCTATGTTTTCGATTATGTGTTTGCTTTAGGCATCGCGATTTGATGCATATGCACTTTAATTGAGTTCTCTACATGCCACTTGGCTGCGTACAGGT